AAACCACCGTTGCTTCTCAGCGAGTAAGTTCGATGTGACCCGCTGCGTCCGCTTTGTGAGGTAGTCCTCGTGGCCTTGGGCCTCGTCCAGGGCATTGATAGCCTCGTCCACCTTGTCCGGGCGGACGGAGGAACTGACTTTGAGGCGGTCAGCGGCGGCGCGTTTGCTACGTGTGGCCTGTTGAGCTTGGATCAAATCACGAAGGAGGATGTGGCGGTTGGTAAGAGACTCCTTGACGATAAAGGCATCGGACGAGTGGTAGCTTAGAGGATCCCCCAGTGTTGTGGCCTCCGCAGTCGCTTGGACGGCATGGAAATCTCCGACGGTTTGGATGATCTTCCCCAATTTCCGGTATGCATTGGACAGTCCAGGGTGTGTCTCTTGCACGTGCATCTGGCCTAGCTTAACACCAAAGTCCGATTCTGCGAGACCGAGTCCTGGATAGCCAAATGTTAGTACCCTTGATAAAAAGTATGAGCCGTCCTAGCGCATACCTCGACGAGCCTTGACGACACGGTCAACCTTGTGACTAGTATCCATTGTTCCTAGATAAAACATCTTCACAATCGGACGCGCATTTTGTAATTCAGGCGTGTCATCGGGGGGCGGCGCAAACTGCTTCAGGACCTTCCTTCGAACCCCAGTTGCGGGTTGTTTCATCCGAACCACAGGACTGTAACCGAAATCACTCTCGACAAACAGGACAACCTCGTCATCATGGGTGAGAACTTCATTGCTCAGTACGACATTCAGCCACCGCTGCATAGACGACTTGACTCTGTGTTCATCCTCTTCGGTTCCAGCGCCGGCAGGGGTAAGTGGTGGAGGGACCGCGGGGACCAACGCTTCCGGATTAGCCGAAATCAGATGGTCCGCAAGCTTGACAAACTCGGCATGGGTGCGACGAACGTCTCGATACTGCGTTGTCCTGAATTTGGGGATATTCGTCTGGAGCCTGTTGTCAGTAGGCGCAGGGCGAGGCAAAGAAGGGTACCACTCACGTGAACATCGAATCGAAGAATAGGGTCCTTCTTGCCCGTTCTTTCTAGCCCCGTAACTTTCGCCTGGATCCTATACACAGGTGCAGGTTGTCTGGGATTCTGTCTTGGGCCCGTTTGGTAGCGGGCGGGGAGCTGAGAACGAGGTTGTTGTCCATGCTGCTGCGGAGATTGTTGCGACTGCTCATCAGCATAGCCGGGCTCACCAAGTTGTGTACCCTGCAGTCGCGCAGACAAGTCAGGCGATCCAGTCTCGTTCTCCTGGAACCCAGGAGCTTCGGTAGGCTGCGATTCGGCATTGTAGGGATCTTGGGGAGGCAAGGGGGCAGGGGGGATGTCGCTAGTCACGGAAGCCGGAAAGGTTGTTTGTGTCGGGCGTGGTGAAGCCCAAGGCGAAGTACCCGCGGGATGATCAGGATCGTGTGATATGGCGGAGTAGTCCATCGTGGCTGTCTTGGTCTAATGGGACCACGTCTACACCGTGCTGCGGGCGCGCAATCATCAGTATTGTCTCATCTGGTATGATTATCGTTGCGGATCAATTGGTGTTCACCTATTGGAACTCAAAAAAAACGATTGAGAAGAGGATAATGCCGAAAACTCTCAAGAATTCGGGCTTGACAAAGGAAAGGCCGATGCAAGCGTTGAGATGGGGGAGGGGAAACTGTTCAACTGAGCGGAACGGGATGGACTTCGGAGGTTACGTCGTTGGTGCCTATGCAGCCTGATTGGCCAGGCATCTGCAGCCCCGGTCACTGGACTGCCGGAAAAGCTTCAGCAGCTTCATTCATACTCCCAGTTCCTCCGCACACACTACCCTTTGAAGGGCTGGACCTTTCTCTTTTCTACATTATTGTCCTTATTTCTAGTTGTCTTCGACAATGTTTGTCAAGTTCTAGGTTCCACATTACGCCAATTTGTTGTCTCCCATTACATAGACAGTTTCCGTCCCAATGGTTACAGCTCTTTTCTTACGCGCCTCTCACCAGACGGTGCGGCCAACTGGCCTACGACAATGCCAGGCAGCTACCAGCCGTCTGGGATGTAATGCGTCCTTGATTCCAGGGGCCAAGAAGGGGCAATTTCCTAGGATCCAGTTGCTCTCATCGTCTGCATCCAAATTACAGGCAGACACCCTTGACCGAACTAGAAATATAGGCATCATTGCACATATTGATGCCGGTAAAACAACGACCACTGAGCGCATGCTCTACTACAGTGGCTTTACCCGAAGAATTGGAGATGTGGATGAAGGGTCCACCGTCACAGACTTTCTCCCTGCGGAACGCGCTCGCGGGATCACCATCCAATCTGCTGCCATCACCTTCCATTGGCCGCCTCAAGCAGCTGGTGATCAGATTGCAGCCGCTCAGGATAATTCAAAAACCCCAAGGTCTGCCACATCTCATACAGTAAACCTAATCGACACTCCTGGGCATGCGGACTTTACCTTTGAGGTTATGCGTTCTTTGCGCATTCTAGACGGGGCGGTGTGTATTCTGGACGGCGTCGCTGGCGTCGAAGCTCAAACGGAACGAGTATGGCACCAAGCAAGCACATATCGTATTCCCAGGATTGTCTACATCAACAAGCTGGATAGAGACGGTGCAGCTTTTGGGCGTACGGTAAGAGAGATAAGCTCCCGTCTTGCGGGCTACCCCGCGGTCTGCCAGATTCCGTGGTTCGAGGGCGGAAATGGTCGCTTTGTTGGAGTTGGCGATGCGATTAATTTGCAGGGTCTCCGATGGCAAGATGGTGACGGTAAAGCTGTCAAAATGTTCAACCTGCAAGAGTTGGATGGCGAGGAACCAGGGCTTGCACAGGAGATTCGACGCGCAAGGACAGCACTTGTTGAGCTACTTAGCGAGCATGATGAGACTATGATCGAGAAGTTCTTTGAACATGACGAAGATCACCTCGCAGTTCCTCCCAACGACATTCTGGACAGCTTGCGCAGGTGTCTTTTGCAAGAACAGGGTAGAAAGATCATCCCTACCTTCGCAGGTGCTAGCTTCCGCAACATCGGTGTGCAGCCTCTCCTGGACGCCGTCACAAACCTTCTTCCCAGTCCCCTCGAAACCCCTGATCCAGAGGTTAGCATCGGAGGCGTTAGCGGAGGTCTTCGGAGTCTACTCTCCGGCGATCTATTAGTCAAGCAGAGCGAAAAAGCAGCCACCTCCAAAGGGAAGCAGAAAAAGAAGAAGTCCGTCACCCAAGCTGAATCCCAGAATGCTATCGAGAAGCTTCAGAGCTGCGCGCTTGCTTTCAAGGTGGTTAACGATGCCAAGCGGGGAGTCTTGGTTTATGTGCGCGTTTACTCGGGTTCCCTGGACCGGAACAGTGCTATATTCAACACCAATCTCAATATCACTGAACGTGCACCGCGCCTGCTCAAGATGTACGCTAATGACGCTGTCGAGGTGGATTCCATTCCCGAGGGACATATCGGCGTTGTGGCTGGCCTGAAGCATGCCCGAACCGGAGATACACTGGTGTCATACGCAGGCAACAAATTAACGCCACCTGAACCACTTGACACCCTCCAACTACGCCCTATCCAGGTGCCGCCTCCCGTTTTCTTCGCCAGTATTGAGCCACACAGCCTAAGCGAGGAGAAGAAGATCCATGAATGCCTGGCCCTACTCCTACGTGAAGACCCTAGTCTCCACGTCACTGTTGACGAAGACTCCGGGCAAACGCTTCTAAGCGGCATGGGCGAGCTCCATCTCGAGATTGCCCGAGATCGCCTGATCAATGACCTGAAAGCTAAGGCCACAATGGGCCGTATTGAAATCGGCTACCGTGAATGTCCGCTTGGGGAGTCGCCTATCACCAGCAAAATCTTCGACAAGGAGATCGCCGGCCGCAAAGGCAAAGCCGGCTGCACGGCAGTAGTGGAACCTTTCGACCCGGACAACGCACCTCCAGTACCCGAAGAGGCACTTTCAGTCGAAACCAAAGAGGGCAACCAGATCATCATCCTCGCCCCAGAACTGCAGGTAGAAAGCAACCGTAAAGGCATCGAGGAAAGCCCCATACTTCCCGCAGGCCTAGACGTACCCTCCTTCCGAGCCTCCCTCCAAAACGGCTGCCTAGCTGCCCTTGCTCGCGGCCCTCAGTTCGCTTTCCCTATGCACCACACCCGCGTCACCCTCACTATCAACCCAACCGAACACCTCTTCGGCACCGACACCACCCCGGCTGCCCTGTCCTCTGCAGCTCGTCTGGCCACCTCCGCCGCTCTCCGCGACCTCCTCTCCTCCGGCCCAGGCACTTCCCTGATGGAGCCCGTCATGAACGTGATCATCAGCATCGACGAAGCCAGTCTCGGAGCCGTCGTACACGACATTTCCTCCTCTCGCGGCGGCCATATCGTTTCCCTCGACGAAGAAATCCCCCTCACATCAACCGACCTCTCCGCGTCCCCCCAACCGGTTGAAGACCTCCCACCCATCGACCCGAAGAAGGTCTACGCCCCTGCGGACCCATTCGAATCTGGATCCGTTGGTGCCTCCCTCCCCGACACCGCCAACCGACCCAGAACCATTACGGCAAAGGTACCTCTCAAGGAAATGGTCGGGTACTTGAAACACCTACGCAGTCTGAGTGCCGGTCGCGGCACCTTTGTGATGAGCGTCGATCGGTTCGAGAAGATGAGCACCCCGCGGCAGAAGGCTGTGTTGACGGAATTGAGAGGCGCGCTCTAAATCAATTGATTTTGCAAGCCTTCTTCCCTCACTTTGTTTCATATCGCTTCTTTCTCTAGATCCGCTGTATATTATAACCGATGATTTGGTTTAAGCCGATGTATACTATGATTGGTTCCTCTACAGACAAGTTGCGCGATTTTAAGATAACAGAATTACTGGTCACTTGATATGGCTCCACAATTCCTGTTTTAGTTAGGCAATTTTCCTCGTTGTATAGAACTATACCCCCTCTGTAAGTATCAAATTCTTCATATTCAGCTCATAATAGTCGGACAAACAATTCCTACTTGCAATGGTTACAGTTCTACGTCGCGGAAACCCCCCTCCTGTCCTTCTCTTTGGGGACGATATCGTTTCAAAGCCTCTACCTGAGCTTGAAGTTGGGCCGGGCCACACCACCTCATGTGCGATACATGAGATCGATTATGAGGGGCCTTTGAGCCCATGGGTCAACTTCGAGAGAGAAGTTGAGCAGCAATATGTCAACCATAACTGGAGACTTGAACCAGTCGGCGCCACAGAAGACAATGATGATCCGCCTCCCCACAGCCTGTCCAGAGAGCAAGTCTATGTCGGAGACGAGAACGGAGTACAAGGTCGATTTGTGCAGAATGTTGGACAGGCTGTGGGGAGCGCCTTCGCCTCTCAATTGCTCGACGTTAGATTTGGCGATTTTAAATCGTCACTGTATCCTCGAGGATACAAGAAGGTGCCGGATTCGGTGATGGAAACCGCGGCCGGTGGCCTCCTCGCCGTTGGAGAGCTAAAGACCCCATGGGCAAAAGGTCACCATTTCGCTCCAACTTTAGAAGTGGCCGGCACCAGCTTCCGTCGTTTAATAGGCAATTGCCCAATTTTCTATGCCAGATACATACTATAAGTCTACACTCGTAACTAATGTACAGTATAGGTCAAATAGCCAAATACATGTATGATCTCAAGTTGAAGTTCGGCTATATGTCAAACTACGATGAAACAATCTTCTTCAAACAAGAGATCCCTCCTGGCCGCCGCTACACGGTCTTGTACTATTCGTCAATCATTGGCAGTGATAGCTTGTTTGTCCCTGGAGAATCCGTTACGCTGCGGCAGTGTTTCTTTCACCTCGGAGTTGAGGCGAGCGCGGGCCCCGATCATATCACTGAAGTAACTAGAACGGTCCCGTGGTTTAGTGGTTAATTCAATTACAGAACTTCGTTGTAGATCGTTTTAATGTATTCATAGTTTTAGTATGGATTTTGTCAAGACTGAATTCGCGATTCCGGTCCAATAATTTGAACCCCGCGTAGACGAAGAGCCAGCTTTCTGGTCCGATATCCCGCTTTTGTAGACTGTACTCCTTGCACATGCGATCGTAGTCGTCCTGGTGGTCGTACCACCACTTATCGATCGTTGCGTAGTCCTCCTGCGTCGGTCCAGTGGCCTTCAGACCGAAGTACTCCGCGAGGATAGGCCATTTGGCGCACCATGGGCCTGGAGTGGCCGTGTCTGCGATGTTGAATGCTTCCCCGTTCGCTTCGTCAGGTTTCACAACAGACAGATAGATCTCTGCTCGCGAGATTATGTCTTGAGATGAATCTGTGAACGTGTAGACATAATTGGTGGGCGTTCCTGGAAACGGAACAGTAGCGCCGTAGCCGTACACGTAACGGTAAAGAGAGAGGTAGAGAGCTATTGGCTCGACCGTGGTCATGCTTGTGGTGCTGGGTACATGCCCTGGTTATTCCCTTGTTAGCCCAACTCAGGCTAGTGTCTCATCGTAGACGTGTCCATACCTATGATTTGGTCAGGGCGGACTTCACACCAGCCCCAGCTCTTCCCTTGAGCTGCTTCTCGGATCAGGTCAACCTGGCCATAGTAGAAAATCTCATCACCGTATGGGGACGGAACACGCGGGGCGTCTTCCCTTAGAGGTGTCTTGAAGGTGAGCTTGTCGATGTGTAAAAACCGCGACGCCGTAGTGCTATCCAGTTAGGTTTATTGATGACTCGATAGTGCCAGGCTATAACATACATTGGTACCTGTTTGTAGCACGAAGAATGCCATGTTCTTACACAGTGTATCGCAGGCATGGACAGCATTGTAGGTCATGGCAACGTTGATGCTCTTGATATCCATCACATTTTCGGTGTATGCGGTAGCATTGGAGTACGCTGGGATGTTAGTAGAGATACTCACACCATACCCTACGCGGTCACTCGTCAATAAATGATGTCTTACCGAGATAGTATACATGGGTGATCTGATCTAGCTGCGGGATTGTTTCACGCATTTGGCTCATCACTTCATCCAGGCTACCCCGCAGGTTAATGCCTGGATACACCTCCAAGCTCGGATCATCGGGGAGGCCTAGTTGTCTCCGCGTTTGGGGCCGATGCGTCAAGCCAATCACCCGTGAAAAAGTGCTGTGAGTTGGATATTCCAGCAGGCTTCTAGTCACAGCCCAGCCGGATATCCCACTTGCGCCGAAAAACCAAAGCGATTCTGTCGCCAGAGATACTGCCCATCGTGAATCACGCTGCGCAAGGTATAATAAGAGACTAGTTGAGAGAATGAAAGGGGCCTCCCCCTGGCCCCTTATATCATTATTAGTCAATATTAGGTGGAATAGGAAGACCGAGACTGACCCGCTGCTAATGATGGCAGAGCGAAAGGGATTGGTCGTACGCTCTGCCGTGCCATACTAATCCAGCGGGCGACATAACCCATTCATTCTTCGATAGGCGACATGCCAGATTTAGTAAAGAAGGACCATAGCCTCGAAAGACGAAAACTAAGACGTCAGATTAGTCGCTGATTCCAAGCCCCTGAGTTAGATCAATGATGGGGTTGACTGTGTACATGTTTGTCTGTAGCCAGTTACTGCTTTCAAGTTTCCCATGCCTAGTTTGTCTCTGATTGGTGTTCATATCCACCCGTGTGCGCATCAAGTTCTTCCGCCCCACTAGGTGCAACGAACCGGTCTCTTGCCTCAGCTGGCTAACATGTCCGGCGACCAGTGATGCTCTCATCATGTGGGCTTCTAGGTCCACGGCCGAGAACCGTTGTGCCTTACGTACGGCAGCCTTCAGGATTATAGGCTAAATTCCAGTTCCTCTTGTCACCAGACATATCCCTATCTTTCAAAGAAAACCTTGGTAGTTGTCTGAGACTGCAGATCTGCCGAAGTCCAATGCTAGGCCTGGGAAGACTATGGGTAGAATGAGAGAGGAATAGAGAAAACAAGGAAACGGAGAGACATCAGAGACCGGAAAGAAAGCTAAGCCCCGTGACAGGGCGCTAGGCCCATTATAGGACCGGGATCAAGCCATCCCATTGTGGGCTTCCCACTAAACTAACCTAAGTATCCATCGACAACTAAACTAAGTGCATGAGTCCTTGCTCCTGCTTTCGCCCTTGATGCTACTTACTGTGGGACCTAAGGCTACGTAGTAGATATTTCTCTTTCCTAATTGGCTGTTTCTTCTTCCGCCTTCATTTAATCGGCGCACGACTGTTTCCAACCCGAGCTCCGCAGAAAGTGTTTATCCTTTCCTTCCGCCCGACTAGCCTAGCAACAACATAAGTACTCAGGAGCATCCTTGTACTTAACGCGTCATAGACCAATCAAGTACCTTGGCACGCCCCATTTAAATTGACCTTTATCTCCACGGAAGTTTGGATGGGAGATCGACCTACCGGCAGACCCTGGTTACTTAGGCGAATGAAATCAGCCGCTCCTTCTGCTCCAAAGTCGGTCTCGGCCCAAGTGATATAAAGAAAATGGCATATAGATCGAGAGTCAGGCTTCTTGGGCACTGGTTGTTGTTGCGGGACTCAAGATGTCATCACAGTCGCTCGAAAAGGGAGCGTCCTTAACGGGGAAGCAAACCGACGTTATAGAGAGCTGTTACCGCCACACCGGTCAGGTAGCAGCTCCCGAGTCATAACACCGAGAAGACGCCCATTCCATTAACTACGACCAGTCTATATGGATTACATGCCTCCATCGTGTGCTCGGCCTGCGCTTCATCTAGGCATCCCTTCTTTGATTTAATCCCTGGCTTATGTACTCGGACATGTTCATTGTTCGGGTAGGTATTGATTTCGAGCTTCTTCGTTGACACATCCTTCTGTATATCTACTGCTAAATCTTGGACCTCCGCCAAATAGGAAACTGTATGTCAACCGCGTCTAAACGGAAAGTTGTACGAGGCCAACGGTATCCCACTCATTGTCATGGATAGTCTCGCTTGCGCTGTTTCATATGGCGTGTTCGTCTCTCTATGATTAGTATTGGTTAGTAGAAAGATACCCGTTCCGACTCATACCCCCTACTGTTTATCATCTTGCAGCGAGAAGAGCCTGCGCTCCTAGGCTTTTTCTTTTTTTTTTTTTTTTTTTTTTTTTCCCTTCAAGCTTGGGACTTTTGTTCATAGCCATCCACACAATCGGTTGATTTCTTCTCTACTTTTCCCTGAGAAATTTCTATAACCATGCCGGGTCGTATTAGCTGCTCGTGTATGTTGCAACGCTCTCCTGCAGCTAGCTAATTATCCACATGAAACATACATGTTGGGTGCCTCGCTTAGCTGGCGTAGCATCCAAGCCTACATCGGTACGTACTATTTACCCTCCCCTCACATGTCACACCTACTAATAGATCGATCCCGTAGCCATATCCTGCAGCTCAACCCTAGCATCAAATGTTCCCGTTCAGCGTTACCTACCACGAATGCTGGGCTCGTCCTACACACACAAGTTGCCCCAGACTTATCGAAGACAGAGCAATGCAAAAGGGTTCAGCGCGCCGTCCCGCAAAGTCTCCCTCCATCTCACGAGCGAAAGCCGGCTACGTAGGGCAAAGAAGCATTACATGATTGCGCTGGCATTATGCTTGAAACAAACATCCATTGGGAACTCATGGATATGTATCCTCCCTATTTAATCTCCTGAAGCCGTGCGCCCCCTAGTTTGGCTTGGTATATTTAGTTGAATATGAATAATTGCATTGAGAATCGCTATCATCGTCCTGAGCTGGAGCTCTACTTCATTACTAATGAGATCATACTCTTAATAGGAGCTGCAGATATCGATGTGAGGATTTTGCGACTGTCTTATATAGCGACACATCTGTCAAAGGACATGGAGTTTGCAGAGCACAAAGTCAAAGGTGCTCAGATCCACCAGACTAGTCAAATCTGTCACTGTCTCTTCTGTTCTGCGTTTCTACGGTCCACTGCATATTCTATCCTCATGTGCTTCCCTCCCTATTCTCCGGGCAGGGGCCCTTGGCTGAATGAAGTAGAATGCAGATATGAATTATATAACATGTATTCTATCGGCTATAGAATAACATTTAAAGTAGAAGTAGAATCAGAGAAGACCAAAAAGGTAGATTCTCAAGCAGCAGAATCAGTTTTGTGTGGGGGAAAAAAAAAGAAAAGAAAGAAAGAAAGACAGGAAAAAAAAACCTTCTCTATATATCAGAAACTATTCATGAAAAGCTGGATACTACAAGCGCTATAATACAACAAGTCGAATCGAAGATGACTTTGTACTTGAATCATGATTTAAATTGGGACGATCAATTATTATAAAGGCACATTCAGATTTCTATACCATGTAGCAAATATTACGGTCAAATAGGTTTCACTTTTCTCCCCGGCTGTGTCGGAGAGTATCACTAGTTAGGAGGTGTGAGGATCCGATCGATCTCACATCCTCCTAGCAAAATAAGCTTATACGGGAAGCGCGTTCTGAGTCACCAGACTCGGAATTCTGGTCTTTCATCAGATAGCCGAGCGGTCGGTATCCGGAGGACTCATTGCCTGAAGCGCACCAGGCTGCATCCTGACAGGAGGAATGAGGAGGAAGAGATGTAGAAAGAGACTGTGCAGTAAACGACGTGCCTCCTAAGTGAATCCTGGTCAGCTTATGTTCGGGACTCGGTCAGTGGTTGAATTTATGGAATAATCATTCACTAGTATGTCATTATGGCCTACCATCGGATCAGCACCACCCACTGAATAAGTCCCGTGAATTTGTCATGGGCCTAGTGAATCCGACTGGTCATCATATAGTCTTCAACACTTTTCCTTTCTCCTTTCTCTCTTCATCTTCCAAAGAAATTTCTCTGCCCTCCCCCCCTCTCCCTCCCTCTCTCTCTCTCTCCCTCTCTCTCTCTCTCAGCTGGAGTTTTTGATCCGTCGATACTCTCTGTTACTAGTCTTTCAGCTCATATCAAGCTTGGTTCTACATCTCCGACTCCTTAGCCTCTACCGTAATACAATCGTGGAATAAAGATTCGACAATCGACAATTGAGCAAGGTACGTAAAAAGCTCCTGGCTATCTTCGATCTACCCTTTTGTTTATCTTTTGTACGAGAGTGACCAGCTTTCTACTTCGGCGTCTGATGACCATCCTCTATCTAACATTTTCCCATTTTTATCATTCTTCCTTTTAACATGAGTTTTGTGAAACGGCTCTCAGTTTGCCCGTCTGCTGAAAGCCAATACTGATGATAGTCTTAGAATGGCAACACGTTCACGGTGGTTCTCCCAGGAGGAGATCGGCGTGGGTGCTACTATACAGCTCGATCACAAATGGGTCGTCCGGGAAATGATGAGCGAGCACACCTACCAACATGACCACGATGACACCATTGCCAAGGTTGCTCCATCCTGGACAGCGGTTCGCCTTCGCGTCGAAGACAGAAGTACGCGTACTAGCGCGTACATGCGGATCTACAAACAGATAATGAATGGTGGCACAGAGGCGGAGCCGGCCCGCATAAGGGCTCGGCAAGCTGATTCTACGTGGTGCCCGGTGGAGTTAAAGGTATACCGGTCTCTCCCAGGCAAGAGCCCACATATTTTACCTCGTCTCGTGGAAGAAAAGGTCGTCAAACAAGACGAGAGTGGTTGCGTGGCAGGTGGATTCCTCATATACGTTGTGTGGGAGATTGTGCCAGGCATCCAGCTCGGTGACTCCTCGGGGTCCAACGTCTTCTGGACCTTGGATCGACCCCAGAGAGACGCAATCCGCGAGCTGTTCAAGAAGGGCCGGATGCACTTATACGATTGGGGGTATTACCCTCATCCGGGGTGCGGTCAGAATCTCGTATGGCACGCCCAGACCTCAACCCTGTAAGTCAACTAGAAATGGCTCGTCTGCTTCTTTTGATTTGACATACTGACCAGTGTGACTTTAATCTAGTTACTTTGTTGGTTGGTTTTTAGCGTACAAAAACGATGAGAAGAAACCGTGGACTCCGAGATTTTGGTATTTCTGGGATTTGACCCGTCCTGCCAAGAAGAGCGATCGTTCGAAAATACCGGATGAAACATGGACTTGGTAGCCTTTTTCTTTATTGTCAGAAAGCCATATATCTGGCACGTTGACTTTTACTTAATGCAGACTGGCTTTCGCGGTTATATTTGCCCCTTTGTGCTTCGTAGTGGTCAATCCTTAGTACACATTGTTCACAATACCGCCGTAATAATATTGCAATCATTTGCTGAACTATAACTCGTCAAGAGGCTGATGGAAGTGACAAGTGGGTATACAGGTAAGTATTTGCTTCGCTACTACTATCATATATCCCACGCTTATACAAAACCCAGGCGTCACATACAGATGGGAATTTCATTACCCGCCATCTAGGTCTATGCCTATACCCCAACACCGCCAAGCCCTTATTTTTATGCCCGTTCCCAGCAGCTATGCATTTTCAGACAAGTTATAATGAGGATAGTAGGATAGGGAAGAGAAAATTGTTTTCCGGGAGGCGGAAATAAGCTTGATACGAGTACTCTTCTTTTAATTTTTCCACGAAATCTACTCAATGCCAAAATGGACCAATGGCCTAACTTCATGCAAGAGGTCGAACAACACCATCTCATGCCAATGGACAACGTCTGTCGTCAACGTCCAGGAGCCACTGTCGGTACTCTCCCATAGCCTGTTCTATGAGCAGGCCTTATGTTAGTGATGAGCATGGCGTACAGGGTTGGTTTACCCAGCTCATAGGACAGGCTATGGGTGGGGTAAAGAAACTTTTGCACGGCAGGATAGGAGAGTATATATTTTTCGGTGACTACAAGTCATGTATCATAAAAAAGCCAGGCAAGAAAGTCCCGGATATAATGATCCACTTCTTGCCGTTGGGAAAGAGAAGAACGACACTCATTGCTGTTTGAGCAGGGGAAAACATATTTCGACATATTTTTGATCGTCTCGACCTATGCCATTTGGGTGACAAGATAGCGGATAATCCAAAAAATCAGATCATATATGACAGCTGCTACGTGTTCTAAAAAGGAAAGATATACGTCCCAATCGGACGAAAAAGAACTCTATGGAATAGCAGGCAGAATTCCGCACATGACACAGTTTCGGTTACATGCCAGAATGTCCAAGCCGAGTGGACCAGAGGCTGCGGCCTACAAGATTGTAGGCAAAAGTCTAAGCGCATGGCCAGATCTAGTGTCGGGCTTGAATGTAATCTGAAAGCAAATCTTTTTTTTTTTTTTTTCTCTTTCTTCCCTACTCTCTGCTCGAGTAGCAGAAGCAAGACCTCGTGGTCAATGCCCACTTTAGCATGTCAGCCTGTTTTTTTTCCATCACTCAGGCGAGAAATCTGCTACAACCTTTGGCAGACCTGCGGTTGTAAATCCTACATATTGGGTAGTCCCAGTGACTAATTAGGCCTTTTTCTCAAGCTGGTGCTAATGCTACAGAAAACTCTGCATATATTGTGGGAGATAAGTAAACTGATGAAGGTCCTGTTAACGCAGCCTTCATCGAGCTTCTCAATGCACTGGCTTCTTTCCTCTGATGAGGAATATAAGTAACTACATACTCACGAAGAAAGAGACATTTAGAACTAGCTAGACAGAGGACATCCTTTTTACTAACGTTGGACTTACGGTCAATAAATGACCGTTGAAGAGCATAAAGAAGGGATACACGATTGTCCATCCAGTGTCAGTGGTTTACGGATGGCCTCCCTAGAGACAAGCACTCCCATAATATAAGGATGCCCATCGAATGCAAAGGCTTTAATTGTTCCAGATACAGCGGGCATCTTCCCCTTGGGGAAGCATCAAGCATCATTTTTCTCAACCTGCGTTTTGCTCTTGCATTCTTGTTCTGCCTTTGCATCTAGCATCAGATGGGATAGCAACAAATTACCAATTGTTCAAGTCCTGAAACATAGTTTCGTTGCGTATTTGATGTCATAAGTCATTACTCATTGCTAGTAAACATCCCAGATCGGGGTGCAGTCAGCACCAGAAGGGTACACTTTAGTGTCGGTGTCGGCTGATGACAGCAACGAAGAAGGATTCTAATATTTATTAATCACTAATGTTGTCTATAGCACTCGTGGAATGATTTGTGAAGCTTGGGATTATCTATGTCAAGAATAACGCAACCCACTTTATCTAGTCATGCCAACGTCAATACAATAAGATACCTTACAAAAATTAAAGTGGTAAAGATTAGCGCATTGTAATTGTTCACTCGTCAGTAAGTCTATGTGCTATGTATGACCTCTGTGCGCATAATAAGCCAGTCATTACTACATCATCTGCAAGTGTAGTAGCTTTTAAATATCTGCTGCGTGACATTTCTCTAGCTTTTCCAGTTTATTTCTGCTGATCTCTCATCACTACCATCATCCTCATCACAATTACCACTCATCGCTCATCACCCTCACCATCCAAGATGCGATTCTGGTCCTGGCTTCGGGGAGAGCCCAGATGCGAATACTACTACAAAAAACGCCTTGATAAGATTCAATACCAAATTCGCTATGACACCCCAAGAGATCAAATAAAGAAATGGATAAACGAGTACAATGAAGAGGAAACACTGGGGTTTGCCATTCTACAGCGCCAGCGTCGTCTAGAGAATGAGAAACAGATGGCGGGGGCGCAACAACAGCAACAGCAATTCCGGCGACGACGGTGCAAGCAGTGCCAGTATCAGAAGGAGATGTGCAGTGCCTGCCATGAAGCGATGCAGACAGCAGATGTCCCGCCGCCCTACTTGAGCCGATTCCCCGAGGATCTCGAACGAGATCTGGCCAAGCTGCGCGAAGAGCTTTGGAAGAATCGCGCTCGCTTGGAGGCAATAAGCCAAAAGCTCACGGATAGTAGGAGTTGGTGGGCCTTATATGCTATGGTTCCACGCTGGCGTCGAAACGACGCTGGCCGGACGTTCAAGTGGGTTGAAGGCCGGATGAGTTGTGCTAATCGGGGAGGTTGCTGTGGCCGTACCTGTGGATGCTGCGAGGAGGTTCTGTTGGAATATCAACGGCCAAAGTGGAGGGACTCGGGAAAGGTACACATCAAGGTGCATAGTCATTGCACGGCAGAGTGTGCTTGCTGTATTCAGTTCTGGGGGTTCTATACTCCCCACCCTGCTCTCCCTGCTATATGTTCCTAGGTATTTGAGTGAATCCAATACAACTCACATACATATGCCTGACCGAGCCTGCCGTGTAGATGCTAGCCATGCAGGTACTTCACCGTCTGAAGCAAAGAATATGTATGGCCCAGAACGCCGTCGAGTTTCTCAAACTCGCTGTAGACACATGTAAACCACGAAGAGCGCATGCTACGACGTCGGAAGGTCGTCGTCATAGCTGATCGCAACTAAACAGCAAAGCAAAGCAAAGCGCAGTCTTACAAAGGTAAGTATAAAAGTGTGACATATTATAACATACTTTTCCCTTCGGTTTTGTGTGCCTTCCTGCTGACGCTGTGTCGCTAGGTTGGCAGGTACTTGGGTAGTATTATAGGTGCTTTCCTTTTACAGACCGTACCTTCCTCAAGTATCAATGACTTGCTCGACGGCAGCCAAAACATCTTCTTGAACTTCGAATCCCCCCTCTTTTCTTCTCTTCTCTCTTCTTCTTCTCGAAATCAGTCGCTCGTTTAACAACGCTCGTTTCATCTAGCATTAAAGTCACTCTTTGCGACATCACTTTTATCCACTCGTTCATTACCCCACACTCACTTTTAAATAGCTTTTTTGTCTTTCTTTTTTAGATAGTTATTATGGCTGAGGCGGTAGATGCCAACGCCGCACCTTCGTTTTGGCAGAAGCTGGACCCCAGCCACGCTTGGTGGCTGTTCCTCGTGATCTTCATGATCGTGATTTGCAACGCCCTTTTAGGTGTAGTGAGGCTCTACGAGCTACTGATCAAACGCCACCACATCGAGAAGTTACGTGCAATGCCCCCATCACGAGGGCGCGACGTGGAAGTGGGTATGGATGAGGAAAAGGCGGTTCAGAAGAGAGTGAGGAGAGGAGAACGGAGAGGGCGGTGAGGACGGGGTGGGTGTTGTTGAGCTGGAAGTGAAGTCGGGAGGTGGAAGAAGAGGAGGAGGATAGGGAGAGAAGAGGGCGCTCGGATGGGTCAAAGGGTGGGAGTGGCGGGCGGGGGGGAGGGTCCCTTCTTTTCGATCAATGCTGGCCATTTGTCTAGGACTAACCGCATCGACCTGACGAGTTTGCCGAATCTCAGCGTATACGGCATCAACCTGTGAGGTGAAAGGGCCCCTTTGCTTCTGATACCATATACTAACCGTTGCTATAGGATATCATTACATCTCTTATATTGCGTTGACCAGTTCGACCTGGAGAAACCCGATGGAGACGACATCAACCTGTGAGTTGAAAGGACCCAATATCTCTTATATATCCTGATTTTTGCTATAGGATATCATTACATCCTTTCATATCAACTTGACACCATCTACGCCGACAGTACTCGGCGTAGATGGTGTCAACCTGTGTGATATGAAAGGGATCCTTGGTTTCTAATTTATACTAACCATCGCTATAGGACAATTTTCGCCTTTTCATGTCGCCGTGACCATTACGAGACGACAAGTTTTAAAGACGTTCGGGGGGACATGGGACAGTGGAGAGAGGGAAGAGAGCGAAATGAGTGGGCTGAGTGAGCTGAGTGAGTGGAGAAATTCTCTATTATTAACGTTGTACTGACTCCGCTTTGTGATAGTAATCTCCAAAAGCGTGACTTATTTTAACTTCCTCTATGGGCTCGGGATGATGAGTTGGAGAGGAAGGATCAGGTGTTGACGGAAGAGGGAATCGTGATAGAAGAGTTGGCGGGTGGAGGTGTGTTGATGCGAAGGGGGATATAAGGGAAAGGAAGAATGGAGTGAGATAAGTAGAAGGAGGGAGGAGGACAGTGGAAGAGGAGAAAAGGGTAGCAATGATGTTGGAGGACTGGGAAGGCAGGGTCAATACCTTTTTTTGTGATTGCAGTAACAACCATACTCACAGGAGAATTTTCAGAGGCCAAGTCCAAGCTGATGACTGCGGACAGAGAAAAGAAGACTATGGATCTTATACATCTGTAATATATGATATGATTAATGCTTTTCTGAACTGTGAAGTCACTCTTCAGGAAAGACACAAGTTCATGAGCCGACACTCGCGGTCTGCTAGTATGGTGGGATGTTTACTGTACGTCCTATCATGGGGAGGGATGTATGAGTGATTTCCATGTTGATATGATCATAAAGATGTGATACCAATACCTGCTGGATTGCCATGTAGTCTAGTACTAAATGACTGGTAGGCCTCCTTACCTAATCCATATCGACGTTAAAACACTGTGCATAGGGTCTCAGCGCTGTGGAAGCATCATGTATTACTAGTCATGTTATCCATTTATGTGAAGAGAATACTCTCGGTTAGTTATGGAGTATTGACTTACGGTAGGGAAGACGTTGAGTCTTATGTATGTTTTTCGAATATTATCAATTATTTACAATTATATCTGTATATCTTCCGGCTCGGGTGGATCATATATAGTTACTTCGTACTTTGGGGAAAGAGATACATCATATGTCAATTGCCTAGCTTGTTAGGGCATTCAATTCATTAGTAACAGTATTTCTATAGGAATAAGGCTGCATATAAATTGATTGACAGGTGATGTATTGTATGCCTATTATGCATAAGGCTAATTAATTGCATGGTCTAGATACATGTCACCGAAACCAAATGCCAAGGCGCTGACTGGAAGAACAGACAGGTCTAATATGGATAAGTATGAGAAATTTGTAGATATATGTCAGGAATGTGAGGGTGAGCGATGCTACACAGCAACACCGGATCTCTCTCTAAATCTTGAAACAAGATAGTAATTGTAAAAGGATAATGTCGTATTGTCACCGAAAGTCGTAACAAATATGTGTAAATAAAGCCATCCAGGGCCAAGAAGTATCTGTCCAATCTATATCATCAATAGGTGCCTACCGTGGGTTTGCGCTTCGAGAAAAGGTTCTTCAGCCTGCGGAAGACTGTTTTCTCATTGGTGGGCACGTCCTCAGTTCCTCGAGATCTGAGCTTCCGGCTCGTTGCCTTGCTCATTGTTGACCAGGAGGTTTTCAATCTTGAGGTGTTAGACCCGGGGCGAAGATTGGAAACGTTGTCCGTCGACTCGGTGTAGACTGGAAGGTGCGGCGTGCTGGCATTAGCAATGGTGCCCGTTCTCATTTTAGCCATCACCGCCTGCTGGATGTTCATGTCGCGTTCGCTTTCTTCTGCGGCGGTGAGGACGTGCGCTAGGCCACTGCTGTCGATGATGATCCCGGGGTGTTGCTTGCTTGCTTCAACGGTGGAAGAGCCCAGGTCCAGCGGATCGGTGTACTCTGGAGGATGGATGGTTGGGGCTTCCGAATCAGCGACTCCACCGTGGCTGTTCGATGATGGTTCCACAGGCTTTCCGAGACCTGGTGTAATATTGCTGGGGACTGAGTGGGGTGAATGGAAGCTAGGAACCCCGGTGGACATGAGTGTAGTCTCGGGGTCCAGAAAGACTTCAACGTCATCTTCGCTAACAGCGTCCACATGTGTGCCATCCTCATTCGGATGAGGTCCGGACTCAGAGCCGTCGAGGAAGGCCTTGACACTCTGACTCCTATCCCTACTCTCCTTTCCCGAGCCCATTGCTTGGCTACCATAGCCTGCTCGGCTAGGCGGGGCACTCGAGGACTGCGTTCCATCGCTAGCGAGTGCTGAGTGGGAGGATGTCGCTCGTCCCGATTCGAGACTATCGCACTTGAGGTGTTGGCTGGTCTGGGAACGGAGAACCCTCATAGCCTGCATACTGGACTGCTGGGTCAAGGCGACCCCGGAATCGTATTTGTCCTTCAGGGCTGCCACATCGGCTCCCACTTTTGGAAACACATACATGGAGTCAATCTGAGGCGCCGTGGACGGTTCGTGCATCGTCGTATTGGTTGTGACCGCGCGAGAGCGCTTGCTAGGCCCCGACGGCTGGCCTTTCGGGTTCCTGGATACGAGTAATGAACAGGCATTTCTAAGCTGTGCTTCTAGGTCGGTAGGGATTTTCGGTCGGTCGATTAAGGGCGATGATGGCTGATAGGTGCCAGGGCTATCAACAAATTCCAAGTCACGGGTGGGTTGGTTATGGGCAAGCTGGTTTTGCTGAGTTATCAAAGTTGGTTTCTAGCTTCACATTAGGCGGCGGCCGTGAGGCAATCTAAGGTAATACACACCTGTGACCCGAACAGAAAAGAAAAGGAGGTGCGTCGCTTCGTGCTGAACTCCATCGTGGCTGATGTTTGCAATTATGACGAAACAAGAGGCGTTCGGTCCGGAAAGGGATCAGCTGGATAGACTGCAGGGAAGACTGTGGCGACGCCAGCCAATGTAGGAGAACGCAATGGTGCGTCGACAATTGACTCGTGATATGGAGAGCAGCGATACAAAGGAAACAAATCCGGTCGCTGGGCTACCAGTCCCAGGGAAACGGACCAGAATGGGCGATACTCAAGATCAGCCCAGATCAATTCCTCAGCCAAAGAATAGCTCGAAGAGGCAGGTGCTCTTCAGGAACTTCTGGGATGGAATGTGGGGAGCAATTCGAGGAATGCTGTCGAGATCAAGGAAAGGAGGGGTGAGGACCGATTTGAAGGTCAGGGGAAGAAAAGCCACCGGAAATTATGAGAGACGAGAGGTAACAAGGTGACTGAGGAGCAATGGACCAGTCCATCTGCTAGGTACACCACCTTCAATATTCAATCGCAAGGAGTAATTATAATGCAACCGCGGCGCTGGGGACACCGGCTGTCTCAACGAGGGACCAAAGAATGAAATATCATGGACGAGAAAACCAGAGAGTTAAAGGAACGAGCGTGGTTGGTGCGATGAGGCCGTCAGCTAGGGAAGAGAGAGCAGGAAGGAAAGAGGAGGCCCTGCAGAAAGCAAGCCTCAGTCACACGGCATCACGGGGCTACTGCAGGCCTGAAAACCTCGCCGTCTGATTGCCTCGTAGTGGCCTCGGACTTAATCTTGCAGTGCACTATTGTCGATGATGCAGCCAGTCCGGCTGCCATTCGCTAGGGGTGAAACCGGCAAAGGAGGGGTAGCAAAGCAGGCCATGCAGTGGTCGATGCGTCTGAGATGATGATGTCCGCACTTTTCCATTTCTAATGGTAGCCAGTGCTGATCAGAGCATCCAGAGAAGCTGTGGGTTGTTACCCCCGTCAGACTCGAGGTCTGAACGAACCAAGTCATCTCCCAATGCGAGGGAGGGTATAGAGTCTCACACGAATCAACTGAGTGTGACAGCATGGCTGTTGCACCAAACGGAAGACTTCCCTTGTCCAACGGTTTCGCAAGGGGCCGTTGGAGTGGAAAGAAGGGATGAATCAAGGGGCTGTACGAGGTTTTCGTGGAATGACCGATCGGGTAGCAAGAATGAGATCCATCACATAGGGCAATCCTAGCGGGACTGCAGCAACTTCTGATAGGCAGTTCTCCGCTGCCTTTCCTGCTGGGAAGAGTCGATCGAAACGCCCTGTTCTGTACTTAAGTTACCACCACCGTCATACGGCAGCCATGCGGAGACGCTGTCGGACCCTGAATATGATCGATATCATGGCATGAGACGAAATCAGTATCCCGAAGTCAAGGATTTCCATATTGACCCATTCGCCTGTAACTCAAGTCCCGGAAGCTGTGACATCTCCACAATGTTGACCCAAAGTATGACACAAAGTAATTCAGGGTGACATTGCAAAGGCAGCAAACTTTGGTTGTTGATGTGTTCAGTTTCATGGCGTGTTCGCGACGGTGTCACCTTCAAGAGGCCTCGAGTTGATTTTCATATCGGGCTAAGCGTAGCTGGTTCTCTTGTTAATGTCAGCAGCGTTTACAACAATGCTTGCTAGAGCTCACGCGGCGGAGTCAGGAAATAGTTATTGTATATGATACTGAAAATGCCCTTGCACATAATGCTATAAACGTCACTCAATGATTGATTCGCTGTTGCTATACTGATTGACGGTCGCGGGTTGGCTTGACTAATCTACAAAACAGAGCGATCATGTGACATCACATTACTTGACTACTATCTACTTGTAATTATCCAGCCATTTACATATGTGAGGTAAATCATGCCTCTACTTGTCTTCACTGATACTTCCTAGCATGGACTGCTATGGCTGGTATTCATTCTTCAATTCTCCAGCAAAATGTCTGCAACAATATACTCAGAAGTTACTGATATTGATGGACTGATTCCTACCAACGCGGACGTCAAATGCCAAAGTATATAGCTCTACCTGATGCTTAAATAATATACTAACAACTGATTGCAGACGGCAGCGATGTAGAAAAGCTGATCCCTTGGGTATTCAAGCATCATGATATCGCAAAAGCAAACTGCACTCGCTTTTGGCCGAAAAAAGAGTCGGAGTTTAAGGACTTTTTCTACCACTTTTCCTGTTACCGTGCTGAATTGGACGAACTCGACCCAGTGCAGATTCCATTATTTTTGAAACCGGACGAGAAAGTCACACTACCGAGGCAAAACTGGGAAACCCCTGGGAGAGCACCGCAGTTTCTCCAATTTCAGGGTATGATGTTGAAGATTTTGATGCAGACTATTTACGATAATCTCGAAGACCTTGCGGAGAATCGCCCGGAACTTCAGTAAGCTTTTTTTTCATCTGCATTTCTATCCTTCGACTTTGTTCTCAGTGCCTTGAACTAGCTTTCCTGTATCCGGCCTTAAGAAAAGGTATGTGATTGGCGGTAAACGATATGCTTCGAGACCCGAGGGTGCAGTTGTAGTCCAGTCACAAGGACGGTCTGTACCGATAATGTCTTATGTTGGTGTATGTGTTGATCCCCTGACAGCTTCTTCCCTTGTATATGTATATTCCCCGCCTCTTGATGGCCACAATCCTAACATCTATGAAGTGGCTGGAAGGGCAGACCTCCCATGACTTTTTAGCCGAAAATATGAGTATCATGCTGGGACAGCTCGCTGCAAATGTCAGCCTAGACCATCAAGACCAAGAAGTATTCATTCTAGGTCTCTATGGGTCTAGTATCTATATTTCACGTGGGCTGTTCACGACCACTCAGATGGCCAAGGTACATTCCAAGGGTAGTTCAGAGAACGAGGTATTCCACTTGAGATTCTCGAGAGGCTATAATTTATCTCTAAGGAAAGACTGGCTTGAAGCCATGCATGCCCTCTCAAAATTACTTCGATATCTCATGAGCGGGAATGCAAAGGTTGGTGTTGTCCGACACATATAAATCCTAATAAAGAATAGAACTATCTTACCGTAGCAAACCCATTGGAAGAATAACACCAAAGCTACCAAAAAAAAATCATGATGGCACATTACCCTTCCATCCTGCACGCCAACCCCGTACTGTATAATACACACATACACACGCACAGCAGCGCCAAAGCGCAGGTCAAAATGATACATCACATCTCCAACCCGCCTCTACCCGTCGAACTTCAAACCTAGTCTAATAACCGGCTTCAGAGTTTTGCACGCAGACTTTCCCCATCTGCACTCCGCATTTCGCTTCAATTCCTGCAAGCAGCCCAGCTCCAGCTCCTCTCTCTGCCTTGTAATTAATTCCCGAAAGCATATCCGAATTCATGGCGTTTTCGCTGCGCCGACCACGTCATATTCGCTGTCTGGTGGTTCCCCGCAATGACCTCAGGAGGGCATTCAGGTGCGTCCCAAACTGGTGAGGCCCGAGGGCGGGTATCATATGCGGAGCAGAGCTGCAGCTGGTGTTGGCGTTGGTTCCTGGTGTAACAATGGGTTGCTGGGCGGATTGGGAATCGAATCAGATAGAAGATGAAAGATCTTTGCGAGGATGATGGTGTGATGGCGGTGTCATGTGGTTCGAATTCAGAGTTGTGTTTGCAAAGTCATCAGTGTTTGAATACGAGACTTAATTACAAGGCCACACCGCTAGGCACTGTATGTAACGGTTGGCCAGTGCTATGACAATAGAAGAAATGAAGACAAAAATTCTATTTACCATAACGAATCTATGTACGATCGAACACTTTTCTTATGAAGGTCGCCCACCACCCTCGGTGTCTTGACGTGTGCAAAGAACACTCGGTGAGGGCTTATCTGATGGAGAGCAGTTGGATGCTTCTTTTACAGCCTTACCTGTGTAGAGGAAACGAGAGAGGCAGTTGGATGCTCATCTCTCTGACTGGCTAAGAATAATAAATCACAAGACCGCACCGCTACTTCCCCAAGGCGCCTGAGCCTGGCGGGGTCCGAAGCCGCCGGCGCGTCCTCTCTGGCCGAGAGAAAGGCCGGGGCATGCCCACGCGGTACATCAGGCAGTATAAAAGGCTGCAACTAATGCGCCAAATCTAATAGGACTCTGGGGGTCAGTTTACCACGCGGTGATATCTTCCACTTCCGCTTCGCCGAAGGTGCTGCTCTTGGTTAGCTTGTTGACTCCGTCCACAGCCTCGACTCCTTCGGCGGGTGCCTTGGACATGATATCTGGCAGCACTTCGCGGAAGAACTCGAGGATGTAGCGGTTGACCTGTTCGAACTGGAGGAGGAAGGCATCGTGACCTTCGGGACTCTCGATCCGCTTCAGGCGGGAGTCCGGAATGCCGGCAGCGATCTCCTTCTGTTCATCAAAAGTGAACAGTCCATCGGATTCGATACCTAGAACCAGAGCTGGCTGCTCAATCTGAGACAGGGCTTCACGGACGGGGTTCTCCGCGGAAGGACTGGCCCGGTGTCGGGACACATCGTGCGTGTCCAACTTGCGGGTGATGGCGATGTAGCAGTTGGCATCGAAACGCTTCACGAACTTCTCGCCCTGGTACCGAAGGTACGACTGAGCAGAGAAGTAGGTGGGGAGCCGCTTCTGGGAACCGTTGGTCTCGATGGTCTTGCTGAAGGTTTTGGCACCGGAGAACTGAGGGTCTTGGAACTGAACTTCAGAGTGTTGGACGTCGGACTGCGGCCCGGGCGAGCTGCGCCCACTCTTGTGTCCATCGTTGTGGATAGCCCAGTGCTCGTTCGGGGGAGTGGGCGACCTTTCCTGACCATTGATGGTCTGCCGCTTGGAGGGATCGGGCACGTTTCTGCCAAAGCGAGACTCGAAAGAGTTGCGGCTACGGTAGGTGAGGAGGGCGGACATGCGCGCCGCACCCAGACCGGTGGCCGGGGGATCGTCAAACGGGTAGTAGCCATCCTCATACTTGGGATCACTGTAGATGCTTTGCCGTTGGGCTTCACCCCAGCTGATACACCACGCCGAATGACGAGGAGAGGTGGCGATCGGAACGATTGCGCGAACATAGTCCTTGCCAAAGTAGGCGTACTCAAGAGTAAGCATACCACCCATGGAGCCACCCACCACGGCTGCAATTTGACGGATGCCCATGTCATCCAGTACCATCTTGTGAATCCTATGCGTTGTTAGCACGCTGTTACACCATGAGGCATGAGAAGAAAACTCACTTTACATCATCACGGACGGTGGTGAGAGGGAACTCAGGACCGTACAAGCCCTTGGATGGATCGCCATCCTTGTAGGTCACAGCGCTAGCACTTCCGTACGGACTACCCAGACTGTTCAAGCAGACGACGAAGAAGCGCGATGTATCGAAAGCTTGACCGGGACCACCAAGCAGGGGACCCCACCAGTCCGCGACATCCGCACTACCACTGAGAGCATGACAGATCACCAATGCATTGTCACGTTCGGGGGAGAGTTGACCTCTCGTCGTGTAGGCCACGGGAACGTTGTGCAAGGTAACACCAGACTCAAGGGTGAAAGAAGGAATGATGACGAACGATTGATCGGTGATGAGGGCCGAGTAAGGGTTTTCGGGTTGGGAATCAGCCCTCTCTACGGGATTTAGTAACTGTTCATTTTGGAAAGGCGGGGGAGGGGTAGAGGGGGGGAAACTGACGGAATTGCCCGGGGGCGGCAGCTTGGGCGACCATACTGGACGGACGCTTGTGGTTGACGGACGTATGGATGCAGAACAAGTAGCAGGACGAAGTTTAAAAACTATGAGAGAGGGAGAGAAGCAAGATGAAGCAGTAGACACAAAAATGAACAGGAGGGAAAGTTAAAAGGAAAAAAAGGGCGGGAAACGCAAGATGATGGCGATCGCTGGTCCCCCGGGGAGTTTTCCGGCCTTGACTCATACGCCATCACGGGCCAATCACATGTCTTACATTCATCCTGAGGCAGGATTGAGTCTACGGATTTAGGTTCCACCGATGATCCGCCCCCGGTCCCGCTTCCCGGCATTTCTGTGTCTCTCCGATCCCGGGCTCTCCAAGCATCGTCATGTATACTGTACACCACCAATAAAATAAGTGGTCGATAACAACAGAGCGAGCACTTCAGCGAGTAAATCTAAGAGATGATGGCGTAGCTGTATTCAGTATTCGCTTCAGTATCGTCTTAGCGAATACGAAATGTACCGGTCCATGGTGGAAAGCTTTATTCAGTCTAGACCCCTTCCCTGGCTATCGGGCCGAGTATGTATTTGGTGGAAAATATCAAAGGACCGTGACCTTTGACATCACATTCCTCGGGTCTTTACTTATTTGAAATATTTGAACAATTACATTATTTCATTGATACGATGTTTAGGTTATCAAACTAGCAACGCTCTGACACCCCGCTCATAACGATATCCACACAAATTGATATTAGTCAAGTATATGATTCTGATTATGCCTCAGATAAAACATCATGATTTCATGTCATCTCCAAAACATTCCACACCTATAACAGGCCTACTGGATCTCGCTTTTTGATAACTGGTGCGACGCTTAGCCACGATCAATAGTATTAGTACAAAACAACGCATAGACAAAGTCTACAATCCGCTAAAAATAAGACAATCATTAAATCACAAAGCCAACCCATAATCACCACACACCCACCTACAGCGAAACGACCAACTTCTTCGCCGAAACTCCCTTCTTCAAAACATCCAACGCTCCCTGCAACGACTCCAATCCCTTACTCACCACCTCCACCTTAGGCGCACTAACAAAGCTCCCCTCCTTCAACGCGGCCGGCAAGAAATCCACAAAGATAGCAGGCCCAACCTCATTCTCAGCCAAATCACCACCAAAGACGAACTTCGACTCGACCCCATCCGCCAGCGGTCCAGACGGTGGACTCACCAACGCAACAAACTTCCTCCCTTCGACCCTCGCCACAATCTGACCACACTTTTCAGGTGACTCCGGCCCAATAGCCAACGCTCCAGCACTAGACTTCCCCCTAAATGCAGCAATGATATCCTCGACTACCGTCTCCGACTTGTAGTCAAAGACGTGGCTCGCACCAAGAGACTTGAGAAAGTCGTAGTTCCGCGGCGAAGCTGTCGTAATCACTTCATACCCCGCCGCCACGGCAAGTTGGATAGCGTTGCTGCCGACACTGGATGATCCGCTCCAGATGAGGACGGTTTGGCCTGTTGATGGGGCTGGGGGAGCGGTGGGATGCTGCAGCGCGAGGTAGTCTTTCTGGAAGAGGCCACATGCGGCGGTTGATATTCCGAGGGGGATTCCGGCCGCGTCGGCGTAAGATAGATCGGATGGGATGGGGGAGGTCATGTGTGCGTGGAGCACAACGTAGTTCTGGAAGGCACCTTTGGAGGAACGCGTGCTTTTCAGTTCGCCTGTTAGACCGAGGACCCGGTCTCCGGGCTTGAATCGGGAGGAAACAGGGCCTGGTCCGACTTCCACTACTTCGCCGGCGACGTCGCTGCCCATGATAGCGGGATAGGGTGTCCAGGCGAAGAGGGCGGAGCCAAGGTCTTGACGAGCATAGTCGACGAGGTTGAGTCCGATGCTGTGATTCTTAATGACGAGTTCGTTCTCTCCAGGATGGGTGTATGGAGCGCTATCGATTTCCAGAGGGTAGGCCTTTTCGGACTTGATCCAGGCGGCGGTATTGGTTGGGGTCATTATGGTGAGTCAATAATTGACGGTGTAGAACTTAAAATGCCTCCAGTATCTATTTGCAAGAGAATACTTGTGAAGATATAATGGACAATCCGCTGATCCCGGCCTGCGATCTATATACCACCCTCGCCAAGCACTCCAACGGCATCTCGGATTAGGGTACGGTGATAACGCCGTAATGTCCGATGGCAAATCCTTCGGTGCTTACACCCCGACGGGGTTTGCGACTCTTAAATCCTACGGCATTGCCGCCCAAATCTAACGGAAATCCGACCCTCTTTGCATCTTGTGTCATGATTTATGCTCAAGTCCGCTTGTCGCCATGGATCAGCCCCCCACCCAGTATGATCTCGCCCCAGCCCCGTACGGCCGCGCCTGCATGAATTGCTCGCAGTCTAAATGCAAATGCATCCTACCCAAAGGGGGCGGGCGATGCCAAAGGTCTGTCTTACAGTGCACTGAGATAGTTCGAGTCTGACGGTACTGGCAGGTGTCAGCGCCTGAATAAAGAATGTCGGCCATCGGCTTTCCATCGACGGCAGAATGCACGCAAGTCCTCGCTGTCCAAGACGGGACGGTTGGAGAAGAAGCTCGATGATTTGGTGACGCTGCTTCGCGCGCAGTCTTCTAGCAATGCGGGGGATTATGCTGAGCTGATTGAGGAGCTGCGACGAGAGCCGGATGAAGGCCATCATCATCCACCACCGCCACGGTCCCAGACCAAGGTTACTCGGACTGTCTCAACGGCGGAGAAATCCATCGACTGCGGGTTCCTTAATCACTTTGCCCAAGTTGGAGCTACCTCCTCCCGATATGAGTCGAATAGTGGAGGACAGATGCCAAATGCGAGTACAGCAGAGCCGACCCGGTCTCAGGCTGAAGAGTATCTGAGCATGTTTGTCACTCAGAAGTTGCCATATCTGCCATTCGTATACTTCCCACCAGGAACAACAGCACAGCATCTCCGTAGTTACCGGCCGTTCCTCTGGCTATGCATCATGGCAGTCACGTCGAAGAGCCCGAGTCAGCGACGTACACTATGCGATAGAATCCGAGATACTGTAGCTCAGCGCATGGTTCATGACTGCTACGGTCGCGATCTCGACTTTCTCTTAGGTCTCCTGGTATATATAGCCTGGTACGATCACCCTTCTCCTTGATGCCCCTATGGTACTAACAGCCACAGGTCCAATCAACAAATATTCAAGAAACTCAACATGACCATCTACAGCCAATTCGCCACAGCCGTAGTCTTCGACCTCATGCTCAACCAAGCCCCCGGCGGAGACAAACCATCACTACTGAGTATACTCCAAACGCACCCAGACGAGGATCCCTCCCCACCACCAGCCCGAACAATGGACGAGAGACGCGCCGTGCTGGGCTGTTTCCTCTTAACCTCCAGGTACACCATCTCCCCCCATCCCAACTACTACTTAGTATAATAAACCCACTGCTAACTCGCTCCCAGCATTTCCCTCTTCCTCGAGAAAAGCGACCCCCTCCGCTGGACCCCCCACATGGACGAATGCCTACACCATCTCCTCGAACACCCAGAATGTCTGAACGACGAGATCCTCGCCCAACAAGCACGCTTCCAACTCATCAACGAGAGAATCAACACCACCACAACAACCAGAACCACAGACCCCTACCACACCAACCTCCCATCCTTCATCCCACCCCTCTCAATCTACACCCGCACCATCACCACCCACCTCCACCAAACCCAAAGTAAACTCTCCCCCAATTCCCAACGCTCCCGAATCCTCCACCTCCACCACTCCAACACACACCTCGCCATCCACGAGTCCGCCCTCCTAAAACAACCCCCTAGCCTTAGTACCACTACCAACCAGCTCCACCACCTCGAATCCCTCCACGCATGCCTCTCCGCCACATCCACCTGGCTCACCACCTTCCTCGCGATCCCACCAGCCGAATACGCAGGCTTTCCCTTCCCGATCTTCTCGCAGCTCGTGCGGCATTTAGCAGCCCTGTATCGGCTCTCTACGCTGGATGATGACACGGCCTGGGACCGAGGGGTAGTCAGGCAAACGGTTGATTTGATGGAAGTGATGGATCGGTTGATTGGGAATTTGGGTCAGGCGGCTGCGTTGGCGAGACTCGAGGCGCAGGGCGAGGATGAGGATGAAGATGTGTTTTTTTATTCGATTGGGAAGTATGAGTCGGTTAGGTTGAAGTGGGGGGGTGTTTTTGGGGGTCGGGATGATGGGGGTGGGGTGGAGCAGGGGCGGGGGGTGCAGGATGGTAGTAGTGCTAATGGGCTGGGTCAGGGACATGGACATGGACATGGACATGGACAGGTGCAGGAGATGGGGGGTTTGGGCGTTGGGTATGATCATGATTGGTTGTCGGAGTTTTTGAATTCGATGGTGCATTGATTTATATTTTGTGGTGGTTGGATTGGTTCATGCAGTGTGTATGCTTCTCTCGGATATTAGAGGATAGTCATTATATATCAGCTATATAGACATCTCAGTGATACGTCAACGTAAACATCAACTGTATATCAGGATCCTATGCAAGAATATCTCCCCCCTCCGGCCCATTCCTCGCATTCTCCATCCTCTCCACACTCGTCTTAAACAACCGTGGCATGCCCGTCTCCTCGAACTTCTTCCCCTTCTGAATCATCTCCGCCAGTCCCTTGGCGGACAGCAGAATCACCGGCATTCCATGGCCATTAAACCCAGCACAGACATACTGCCCGGGTTTATTGGGGACTTCACCGATATGCGGATGCGAGTCGGCCGAGTAGCCCATAACTGTTACCAGAGTCAGCACAAGTCATTCTCTCAAAACTAAAAAGCAGATACAAAAGAACCAAAGGATGGGATACTCACCACCTGTCCAAATCTCCTTCACATACGCCCCACTATCCTCCCACCCCCTAAACGTCCGCTGCATGTACCCATCATAGTAATTCTTCGCAGACCCAATCAGCGTCGTATCATCCACAACACCATACCATTCCTCCCGCTTATCCTTAAACGTCGCTTGCGCACCACCCACAATAATACTTCCATCCGGTCTGGAAATCAGATAACTGCCCCCGCCGACAACGTCGGATCCGTACCCAATTGCATACGAGTAAGGGAGGAACGGTGCGGGTTTCTTGCCCTCTCCCTCGGGAACCGTGATATGGCAGCATATTCCCTTGCAGGGGATGATGTTTGCCGAATACTCGGGGAGTAAGCCGGCCGTGTAAGCGTTCGTCGCGTAGACGATTTTGCCGGCGCGGAGAGAGCCGCGCGGGGTGGAGATTGTGTGGATGTTGTCTTCTGTAGTGATAGATGTCACTGGGGTGTGGGTTTGGACATTTAATTGCGGGGATTTGATGATTTTGCTTAGTAGGCCGAGAATGAATTTGTAGGGCCAGAGTGTGCCTGATGTGTAGGAGATGCAGGCTTTGGCGTTGTGGGCGCCTGATATCTGTATTTCTGTCAATACCCCTCCCATTTAATCGAAAAGTAAGTGATAGGTGAAAGAGGATAGATACTCACCACCTCTGCATCCCTTTTCCCCGTATAATGCAAGTCCTCAGCCAACTTGACCCCCCTCGCCTGCAACATCTCATACGCGAGCTTGGCTTTCTCTGCCGACTCTTCATCCAAATACACGTTCATGTTCCGGGTGATATTCAGATCGCAGTCGATGTTCTCCTCGCGGAGAAGATCTTTCAGCGCTTGGATATGCGCGTATTCGAACTCGGCGATCTCCAGACCCGCTTCTAGTCCAGAGCGCTCAATGTAGGTGGGAATGTGACCGTAAATGTCGGGGCGGAGATGGCCGCCTTCACTTTCAAGGTTAACATCGTTTATCTCATACTCATGGATAAGGGCATACCATTTCGACCCGTCGCGCCCGAGCAAATCTGCCTCGCTTCGAGCAGCGTAATAGTGGTAGTCTTGTCACCCTGCTCAGCGAGCTGTTTGAGGAGATAGTAAGCTAGCGTGACGCCCGAGTAGCCGCCGCCGATGATGACGATGTCGCTTTGCGGGGGCAGGTCGGGGGTGCTCCGGATGTCATCGAGCGGGTCGAGTTGGGTGCGCCAGAAGGGAGTGATGGGGTTATTGGGGGGAAGCATGGTATTTGTTGTGGTGGAGCCCATGGTGATAGTATGTCTACAGTGAGTGGTATTCGAAGATTAAGTGTGAGTCTGAGAGATGTTTACTACAATCATGTTCAGTCGGCTCTCACCGCAATATATACATGAGTCGATCGCCCAACGTTTTAGCCGTTTATCCCGCCCCAACGTAGTAGATGGGGTTGATTAGTAGTAGGTGGATAACGGCCTAGCCCCTGATCTTATCTGCTTTATCTTCGGAGTTCGGCTTGGGGTCCATTAGTTGGGGTGACTATCGGCCGTTGTCGGAGATGTGTAGTTCAAAAAGGGTGGACTCTAGTTAATAGTATGTGGTTCTATGTGGGTGATAGTCTTCTAGAAGACGGGATATAATCGGGAGAACTTCGTGAAGAATTGCCGGAATTGTTTACCTAGGGAAGAGCGGGCTGAGAACCATGTCCAATACACCAGGCTGGCCACTCAGAAGCTCTCCCCTGTAAATGTCCGTCCAATGCTTATTGTTAGGCTCGCCTTGTATCAGCCACCTACGTCTTATCAGGTCGCTCCGGATGAAACATCATTATCATGAAGCGTCATCTCGGGCGTGCACTCCGCTTATCTATCTCTTGGCTGTTAATATGCTGGATTAACGAATGCGGAGGCTGTTGATAATCTGATAACTACATCTGGCCTGAGCTTGAGCTTTACGGAACTCTCCCATCGAAGTTCCATCTTATACTAGTATCATGTTCGAGGTATAAGGTAAATATATTCAAGGTTCCGATACTGCTTATTGCAACAATGTAACTTACCACTGGTAGTAGCTAGTATTACGTGGGAGATCCCGACTAGGAAGACACATTGGGCCGCAAACAAACATAGTAGACTTGATACATCAATAACACCTGGCAAATACTTAAAGGACAATGTGTCACTCGTAGCTCTGCTGAATACAAAGAAGCATCTTCAGCTGGAGCTCCCAATCGGGTATTTTTCTCCAGGTGGAGCCTTACTCAGCCAGACCGGATTAGGCAAGTCACCATACCGGAAATAGCTACGCACCCAGTGACCACCGCCCTCATCCAGCCTAGCGCGCGACATCATCTCGATCGGTCGCAGCTCAAAGACTCACTTCTCATGCCCGACCACCGCAGGGGCATCGCATCGCATTTCTACACCTCCCAGCCATGACCACGCGCGTTTGAACTTACCCGAACGAAATTTCTCATCGCCAATACACTCTACATGCTCGAGTCTACCACGCTGTGCGCTTTCCGCTACAATGACCGACTATTCGAAATGGAAGGTGACCGATCTTAAAGCCGAGCTGAAGCGGCGCGGCATCGCGCAGACCGGTCTCCGCGTGAAACAACAGATTATTGACCGATTGGTGGAGGAAGATGCCCGCGATAAAAAGGATGCTGTCACGAATGGAGAGCCGGCCGCCGAAGAGGATGTTGCGCCGCAGGAAGCGCAGCCCGTCGACGCGAAGCAGCCAGAACCAGAGCCAGAGCCAGCCGCGGATGCGCCAGCTCAACCCGAGGCTACTGAGACCGAAGTGAAAGATAAACAGATTGAGGAGGCAGCACAGGAGCAGGAACAACCACAAGCACAAACAGAGGAACAGGGTGACGCGGTTCCTGAGTCGAAGCCTGAGCCGGTGACTGACGAAGCTCCCGCCGGAGGACCCGCTGAGCAAGAACAGCAACAAGAACAGCCAGAGCAACCTGCCCAAGAATCACCGAAACCTGAGGAACCAGCTCAACCCGTCGATTCCACTACTGTCGACCAACCCGCCGATACTTCCGCCCCGCAAGACCAGACCGAGAATGACACTGCTGCAGCACCGGTAGAGCAGGCTCCTGGAGAAGCAGCACCGGAACAGTCTGAGGACATGGAGCCAAAACCTGCTGAACCAGCTGGATCTGGTGAGACCGCTGCGCCGCCCGCTGCAGTCCCCTCGGAAATGAACACCGGCCTGTCAACACCCCTGCCGACAGAAGAAGTGTTGGAGGACCGGCGCAAGAGGAAGCGCCGCAGTCAGAGTCCTGTGCCAACACCGGAAGCGCTCGCAAGTAAAAAGGCCAAAGCCCTAGACGAGACACCCCGAGTCGTATTGCCGGAAGACCAGGTTTCCGTGGACAAAGAACGTGAGGCACGGGAGGACGGAGCTCCCGGTCCGCAAGAAACCCCTGAAGAACGCGCGGGGCGCGAGACCGCGCCGGATGAGGCCCCGCCTGTGCAAGATGAAACATCCAAGAAAGGCGCGCCCCTGAAACATGACGTTCGCTTCAAGGGGCTTTTTGCTGCCAAGGAGACGGAGCAGACTCGCCCCGGCTCCCCTCCACCGGCGGATGCGGTGATGGAAGATGCCGACGTCGAGCCTGCCGTGCATGCTGCTACAGCAGCTCTCTATGTCGGCGGATTGATGCGTCCTCTCCAGCCGGTCGCGCTCAAGAACCACCTGGTCAGTCTCGCGTCCCCTCCGGATGCCTCACCCAATCCGGATGTGGTCGTAGACTTTTACCTGGACCCGATCAAGACACATTGCTTTGCTAGTTTTACGTCGGTCTCGGCAGCGTCGCGAGTCCGCACCGCCCTCCACGGTACGGTATGGCCCAACGAACGCAACCGCAAGACTCTATTCGTGGACTTTATTCCGGAAGACAAGTTGTCACTGTGGATTGAGAAGGAAGAAGGTTCGCGACAGCGCGGTGGCCCTCCCGCGCGCTGGGAAGTGCGCTATGAGCCAACCGACGATGGCGTAGAAGCTGTTCTCGAAGAGGTTGATCCCAGAAGCGCTTCATCTCAACATACGCGTGCGCCTGACGCCTCAGGCTTTTCTCGTCCTCCGCCTACCGGGCCACGGGCTGAGATGGGCGCTCCTCGACGTCCCAGTGGCCCAGTCACGGCCGATTCGAGTTCACGACCTGGTCAAGGATTCAAGCCGCTGGATGAACTTTTCATGTCTACTACTACCAAGCCCAAGCTCTACTACCTCCCGGTCCCTCGGGAGGTGGCCGACCGGCGTTTGGATCGGTTCGACGATTTGCTACGAAAGGGCGAGTTCCCCCGACGCGGAGGAGATGAGCGCCGTCGCATCACCTTCGAGGATGAAGATTTCTTCGTCGATAATGGACCCGACTTTGGTGGTGGGCGCAACCGACGAGGCCGGGGCCGCGGTGGTCGTGGACGCGGAGGGTTCGGAGATTCGTGGAGAGATGACCGACGTAGTCGGTATTGAAATGAACAGATATACCCCTGATGATATACTATGGAGCTGCCATGGTTTGGGATTAGGTACTTGGTGTAATTGCAATTTCGTGTACAGTAGGCGAATGCCAAGTTGGCGCGGGGGATAAGAAAAATATGATCTACGGGACAAGAAGTGATTTGATTTGAGCCAAGATGGCGAGGTGTATACTAGGTTGGGTAAGTGTCTCCGGGAGACGAATCAACGAATACCATCAGGATTTATTTTTATTTTTACTTTATCTTTATTCGGGAGTCTCTGTTGGCGTGGATGTGTATGAGGTGGATAACTTGGAACAACAAAATCATGCAGTCAGAATGGCTCAATAATAAGTAAGTACTCACTTGCTTTTAAAATTGCGGTGGCGCAGCGACCCTCCGCCATTGCACTGCGCGGCAGATGCAGCGAAGGTGATTGATTGGCACAGGAACAGTGCTCCGTACAGTAAGAAGAATCCATCGTAAGAACTGCATCTGACTTAAGAACTTATAAATAAATGTGGCTGCCTTGCCGGTTCGGTCTCATGTTCATGCTCCTCCTCCTACCAAGACTTTTACTCGGGTTTGACTCCACGATCTATTGTTTTGGATAACAAAGGACCAAGAAACCCAACCGGTCCTTCCACAGTTACACCTTATATGATTGTTTGTTCCTAATTCCGACTTTCCAAGCCTGACGTGCAACGACGACGTACCTCCCGACGTGCTCCACTTCATTAGCCCAACTGCACTAAATAGTCTCCGTCATTCCAACTAACTCTCTCAATCCGCCGGTCGCTTGCAATCCCGCCTTGGTTGTTCTTCCTGCCAGCGCATCCCGAAGCATCGCCAGGGCAATCGGTCCGTATTGAACTACTCAGGATCAACTTTCGCCAGTGACCCGACCGGCCTCCCGAGTAAACGAGGCACAACAACGTGACAAAAGCTTAAACTTGGGTGGCTCCCAGGGGTTCATGGGGGGCCAAGCCCGGCTGTGCGGATAAGATATCTTGAGAGAAAAGCGACGGGCTGGCGTCCATCACGACGATCCTCTTTCTTCTCCCTCTTCTCGCTTTCGCAACCCGTCTCTTTTCCTTTCCTTCCTTGCACCCCCTCAAAGGCTGTTCATCCTTGCAGTCTCCTCTCCTTTCCTGCAAGAATGGGCTGGCCAGTGTGCAATTCGACCGTGGAAGACGAAACCAGTAGGCATTCCCCCCTCTGCGCTTTGTTGAATGCGACTGGGGTGGTTATCGAATTGAAATGGGCTGACGCGGTTTTTGACAGTCACGGAGGTTGACCTCTGGGATGGCGGAATCACCTTCCACCAGCTCTGCCTGATTGTGGGCGGGGCTTTCGGTCTCATGGCTATAGTTGTTTCTTTCTACCTGATTGCAATGCACGCTACACACTACAGCAAAAAGATAGAACAGCGACAGTATGACCCCCCTCATTCTCTAGTCAGATACTGGCACTTAGTTTTTGCTTATGGCTAACGTCCCCCTCTTTTCACTAGTATCATTCGAATTCTGCTCATGGTCCCCGTTTACTCCGTCGTCGCATGGCTCGGTACCTACTTCTACAAGAACGATGTCTACTATGATTTGATCGGCAACTGTTACGAAGCGTTTGCGATTTCGGCCTTCTTCTCTCTTATGTGCGCTTACATCGCGCCCGACTTGCATAGCCAGAAAGAATATTTCCGTGGAGTCGAACCCAAACAGTGGGTCTGGCCGATCCCGTGGCTCCAGAAGTGTACCGGTGGACAGAAGGGCATTTGGAGGGTACCGCGCAGTGGTTTGACATGGTTCAACGTGAGTGCGAGAGGTCAGGTTGTGCGCGATTGTAGTTATGCTAACGCGGCGCTAGGTTATCTGGGTGGGCGTTTTCCAATACTGCCTCCTCCGAGTCCTGATGACTATCGTCGCAGTCGTCACGCAAAAGTTCAACCTCTACTGCGAGGAATCCCTCAACCCCGCGTTCTCGCATATTTGGGTATGTGCTGTGAGTCTCTTATATTGGATCCTGCTAACATGCGACAGGTACTCCTCGTTGAATGTATTGCAGTCTCCATCGCCATGTACTGCTTGATCCAGTTCTATATTCAGATCAAGGATGACATCGGCCAGTATCAGCCATTCCTGAAGATTTTGTCGATCAAATTGGTCATTTTCCTGTCCTTCTGGCAATCGGTAAGTGCAGCATTTGCCCACATTTCTATTTCCTGTTGTCTAACCCATTCTAGACTTTGATCTCCTTCCTCACCTCGGCCGGAGCCATCAAAACCACCTCTAAGATACAAAGCCCTGACCTCAAGGTCGGACTACCGAACCTACTCATCAACATTGAGATGGCATTTTTTGCCGTCCTCCACTTGTGGGCATTCTCCTGGAAACCGTACTCGCTCAAGAACCAGCCATCCGAGATCACCGACTTCTACGGCAACGGCAAAGCCAGCTATGAAGGCGGTCCCTTCGGCGTGAAAGGTGTGCTTGACGCCTTGAACCCGATGGACCTCATCAGAGCGATTGGACGCAGTTTCCGCTGGCTCTTCGTCGGCCGGAAGAGACGCACGATGGATCCCAGCTACCACCAAACCGCAAATGACGCCTTCAACATGAACGTTACCGAGAGCGGTATTGACTCCCACGGCACCGAATACGGCGGCGCAGGTACAATGATGGCCGGTGGACGCTACAGTCCCCCTGGTGAAGAAGGACAGGTCCTCCTGTCGCACGCTCAGCCAAGCCCCGGCGGTGGTCTCGTGCCTCCGCTCGAGGACGGAGCGGACCCGAACCGCTTCTACAACCATAACCGACTCAGCGCAACCTCCCTCCTGGAGCCAACAGCCACGCATACCGCCCGGCCGTACTTCCCTTACGAGGAGGACGCATACAACCCATACCTCGTGAACTCCCACCTAGAACAAGACCACTACCACGAGCCCGTCCACCCCAATCCACCCTACCCAGACCATCCTTCCGACCTCAACAACCCCTACCACACCACCACCACCACCACCACGCTGCAAGAACAGCCCCCTATCCCCCTCCCAGAATCCTACCAACCTCCTCCCCCGCACTACGACAGTGACCACCAACAACAACAACGAAGGTAAAGCGACGAGATTTGATTTCGACGAGCAACAAAAGAAACTCCGGTACCCCCGGAGTATGATGACCCCTTAAGTCTTCATGCATGTTCTTCACATTCTTGCGCGTTCCTCACCCTCCCCACTGGGTAGAGCTGAGAGCGCCACGGCTAGCTAAGCAGCTAGCCGTGTTTATCTTTGTCTCTTGGCGTTGACTTATTTTATATCTGTCTGTCTGTTCCGTGCATCTGTCGTATAATACCCTCTGAATTTCTGGGCTGTCTTCTTGTTCTTGATTGTTTGATTTATCTAGCTATATGATATCACGGTATGAAGATTGAGGTTTTTTTCATGAACCCGGATTTCACTAACTTACCTGGAAATCTTTTTCTTTTCTCTTGGATGAGGGGGGTAAGGTTGGTGGGTTGTATATGATATCATTCGGCCTCCTTTCTTTTCTTTTCATTGTCTTCATTCTTCATACTACTTATACTATCTTGCTGTCTTTTTTGTGCGGAGATAGAGATTACTTAGATTAGATTAGATACTTTCGTTATACAATATTATCTTTACTTTCGATATACTACTATAGACATCTATACATTTGTGGCCGTGACTGCATTGTGGGAACTATATTGGTATACAATGATATCGACAGTGGAACAAACCTACATAGCAAAATCATTGTTGATGGAATTTAATCAGGGTATGATCATGCATTCATTTCGTTAAGACTACTACTACTATCAGCTACATCGACTAAATCTACCTCACCGAATATCTCCCTACCCATGGCTCACGCCATCTCCCGTCGAGAACGGCTCAGCGAACCGATTCTGCCACGATAATTGTTGCGTTTTCCGGGACATCGCCGTCCGTCTCACGCTGTTCATCAAGGCGGTTCGTTTCCCGAGCTCGCGCATCGCGCTGATGCTCTGGCCGAGTTGTCCTAGTAGAGAGACGAGGTGGACGTCGTTGCTCTGGGCGATGGCTTCGGCTGTGAAGGCGCTTTGTTCGTCAGGGGTGAGGAGGGAGAGGTGCGAGAGGAGGGCGTTGATGTTGCGGAGGATGGGGTGGGAGAGGGTGGCTGTTGAGTTGGGGGTGTCTGCGGATATGCTGGCGACGTAGGATTTGATGAGGGAGATGCGGGATTCGAGGGTCTTGATGGCGTTGAGGCGGGTGGTGAGGCTGGCGATTACTGTGGGGTTGGGTTGGTTAGTGATGAGTTGGGTTCGGGTTTGGGATGGTGCTGGTGGTGGTAGGTGACTTACGTTCTTCTTCCTCCGGGGAGAGCACGTCTGACTGATCCTTGGTGGATTCTTTGCCGGCTGCTTGTTTTGTGAGAGAGGAGGTGGCTGGTGTGTCTACGGCGGCGTTTCTGGCTGTTCGTGCTACGGTGTCGATGCCTATCATCTCGGCTTCGCCCGTTTCGACGGAGTAGGGCAGTTCGCGGAATCGGATCGTTAGGGATTGTTCTTCTCCATCGACCTGCATTGTCTTGCTGTTCTCTGTTGCATTTTCGCCCTCGTATACGCTTTCGTAGATTGTCACCGGGAGCTTGCCGCCGTTGGAGGATGCGTCGTGTATCAGGGATGGGTGGAATGCGAGGAACACGGCGGACTCGTTGTGGTTGTGGAGGATCTGGCGATGGATTGGGAGGTGCGCAGTGTTGGGGCCGGATGGAGGAGCAGTTGACCACCAGCCGACGAGGTCAAGGGTAGGGGCTTTGTGTACATCTTTGACTTGGAGGGGGTCAGCGAGTCCATGATACATATAGATGGTTGAGATAAGGTGGAGGGGACTTACATTGCTTGACTCTCTCCACGAACCAGTCTTGGGGAATCTGGAGTTCGCCATTTGCATTCTCGTTTACGATACATTCAAAGACGTGTTCCAGGGTAATCTCGCGCCCGTTCTGCTGGCCTAGAAGCGCTCCCACTATAGGTCCTTGCTGAGAGCGGGCGGCATGGCGGGTGATGTGGTCTGAGATAGTCAGGAGGATCAGAGGGTGGAGATGGATATGGAGGCCGGAGTCGGAGTTCTTAGGCGATAGGAGGGATTCTGGCTGATCAGACATGATGATCGGTATATCCTTGAAGGAGGAGATGGTATACCGAGTCGAAATGGTAGGAGGAAGCTGTGATGGTCTGGAACTTATCGTCGGGGAGACTGGCGGAGATGTCATGGGTGTTTGTCCCGTTTGCACCCAGCTTTCCCCGCCGCCGGGGATAAGAAAGCCGTTCCTGACTTGCCTTTCTCATCTCTCACTTCCCCACGGATCGCATCACCGTGGATCTGTTTGGAATCAACATGGCCGTTCCATCTACTTACGATGAGGTCCGACAGCACCTGGAACAGGTGCAGCGCGAGCCCTCCACTCGTCTGGACACGTCTCTTCTTGAAAAGTTGAAACTCGAGCTTACCGAGAACGTCGATCGCAGAGTCCCCGCCACCCTTATGATCCAGATATCGCAGCTGCTCCCCGTCCTGCAGGAGGACCCGACTCCTCTTACCGCTCTTGGTGTCAAGGCTACGACGTATCTCAGCTTCGCTGACCTTCACTCTGTCAATCCTCCGATCAATTTCATCGCCGGTTTCAAAGCGCCCTCGGAACCTATCAACTTGTTGGCTTTGTCGTTGCTGCGCAAGGCAGGACACGCCGCTAGTGATGCCGCCATCGTTGCCGGCGATCCGGAACTCGTTTCGTCTTTGGTGGAGCTGTGGTTGTCGACCTCTTCTACGGCCGTAGCACAAGCGGCGTTTGACACAATTTGGGAGCTCTTGGAGGTCGACTCGGCCAGTCCGCTCGAGAATACTGGACATGAAGGCGATGAGGCCACCGGTGGTCAAGGACTCGTTTGGAGGCGAATTTTCGCGGATAAAGATGTATACGGGCTTCTATTTTCCCTCTGCAGTCTCACGGATAATGGACCAGGAAGTCTGTCCAAGCGCGACAAGACTGTAGCTCAGGGACGGTTGATGGGTCTGCTTGTGAAGGCGGGTCGGCTGCATTGGGACATCATCTCGAAACCACAAGTGCCAGAAGTTGAGAGGAAATACCAGAGCAATGGCCTCCTCCATTTCGCTGCCTGCCATATGGTTGACAAGGAAGACGTGCTCATGCATATGACGTTGATTAACTTCTTCCATGATCTTCTGGAGATTGATGCTCCTGGTCTCATCGCTCGGACCATTGTGCAGTCAGCATCCACCTTCTCCTCCCCAGCACTGGATTTCCTCATTTCGCATAACATACACTCTACGTCGTTGGAGTATTACTTGGATGAGTCAAAGCTCGACGCGGTGGACCTGGCTTACCTGTGCGGTCCTATCATGACTTACGTTGCGCAGTATGCCGAGCTGTATCCCAACCACTTCCTGCAAAACCCGCAGTATCTACTGGACCGGATACTGTCTCGCATTGCTGCCTCGGTGGCGGTTTCGACCTCCCAGTGGGCGCATGGGCCGGTTCCTAGCGGGCAGTTGAACGTACTTTCCTGTCTGCCCCGCGTTTTGCTCGTGGAAGCCAGCAAGCAAGGACTGAACCCTGTTCTGGCCTTGCCGACCAGTCCTCCAAATAAGGAGGCTCTGGACGTGCTGGCCAAGATCCTCCACGGCCCAGTGAAGCAGGGCCTTACGGACTCGATGGAGTTGAATGCATCTGGCCAGATGCCGACAGATTGGCACAAAGAGGCCGCGGCCGCTCGCGCGCTGTACTTCATGTACACTAATCAGCATACCAACTTTTGGACGGATGTAGTTGCGACGGCCGATATTCTTGCAATGAAGGATATTTCGTTGGCGTCAATATCCCTCATGAGATCCCTCATCACTGCTAATTGGCAGATCTTAACGGGTGAAGTCACCTCGTCTGTCCCTGGGACTTCCCGATACCAGCTTCCCACCGAACAAGATTTGGAGAGTTTGTCTCCGGCTACTCAGGGAGTTCTGCCGTCATCGGGTGCTTGGGCAGCTCTAACGCCGCCAGCCCTGACTATCCTCCTGCCATATCTGTTCAAGCCTCCTCGGTCATATGCCGAGTTTGTCGGCGGCGGAGCAGGTGATTCCCAGCATGCGGTCTGGAAAGTGGCAACGGCGAAGCACGAGGTCTTGGTGGCGCTGTATGACTGTCTCAAAGAAAATGGGGGACAAACGGAAGGGTTCGAGGACATCATGCGTACTCTCCGGCAACGGGTGAACGAGGGGCCATGGGGGCCTGTATCCCAGACTGCAAACCAGGTTGCAACCGTTGGCCTGTAAGGCTGGTGCTGCGGAGATGCCCATATCACTGGACGATTTACGATTATGCCATTAGATACCTGTACTATTTCATAATTTTCCATTCAGCAATAGCAATGAATCCTACATCAATAATAGCATTTCCTACACAGTAACTACAGTACACTTTATAGATACTACACTCTGATTGGCCCATCCCAGCCACCCCAGGGTTCTCGCCCCGGTACCCTAATTACCCAATTCGCGCAGATCTCCGCAGGCGGTGAGCCACATCCAAGCTCGGCCGGAACTTTTTTCTCAGCCATTGGATCATGGCGCAGTGAAACGCCCGCCAGCGCTTCGGCCTTTTCCTCCCTGGACATTAAACAACCTGGGCCCCCAACGGAGCCATCTCCGACCGATTGACAATAAGGGGCATATTCTCAGCGAATAAGTTTATAACCCGACATGTCCCGATTCGGCGCAAAGAAAGGCAGAAAGCTCCCCGGAGCCGAATTCACTTGGGAGGCAGATCCCAGCGGAGAAAATGATACGGCGCCGACGCCTTTGTTCCCTGTATGTTTTGGGTTGATGTGATATGATATATTTGCTTCTTTGTTTGGTTGCTTTGTCACACGGGTGATTTGTTGCGTTTACCGATGTCGTTCACATTCACCCTGCTGCTGCTGCTGCTGTTGTTGTTATTGCCATAGCAGTCTGGCTTGCTGCTACTACTATTCATCGATTTAAGGAAAGGAAGGGGTTCTAATCATGTCATTGTACAAACAGAAATACACGGTCCCTCGCGCCAGACCGCTCTCCTCGCAGGAACAATTGCAGGTGGATTTCTATCGCACTCTCCGGGAACGGTTCCACGATGGCCCCTATTACTCGATTCTGGAGGGGGCGGGGTCGACGATGAAGAAGGATAGTGCGGCGCGGGCGAACTTCGATCCGTTCCATGGCATGCCGAGTTATTCGGGCAAGTATCAGAAGAAGAAGAGGGCTTTGCCGAGGTTACAGGGGAGGCAGTATGGTGAGTTTATCATTCTCTTTATCGGATATTTTATGAGAAAGTTGGGAGAGGGACATGGTGCTAATGGGACTGTGGCGGTAGTTATGAAGTTCTTCCCCCGCGAATTGTGGCAGACGATTCAGCCGACGTTCAAGCCCGATGCCGCGATGGATGGGTATGTGCCGCAGGTGGCGCGGGCTGGAGTGAAGCGGGGATTTGAGGACGATGATGAAGAGGAGGATGAGGATGCGGCGAAGCGAGCGAAGGCTGGTGGCGAGGAGGGTGAGGGGGCTGAGGATGATGATGATGGGGACGGGGATATCTTGGATCCGGAGGAGGAGCAGGAAGGCGAGGAGGAGATTGAAGATGATGACTTTGAGGATGATGATGATGAGATGGGTGGGGATTATAACGCTGAGCAGTACTTTGATGGTGGTGATGACGAGTATGGGGATGATGGGTTCGGAGATGGTGGTGGTGGCGGCGAGGAGGATACTTATTAGATCGAGCTGGATTCTTGAGATACCCTTTGTTCAAAACTATTATTCTTTGTCGGTTGATCTTATCAATCTAGCGGTTACTTTGGTTTTATTCCTATGGTTGATTGGGTATATTCATTCCATTGCCGGAGTATTTGACATTACGAATGTCTCTTTGACCCTACACTAGTACAACATCGCCATAACCAGTATTCCCCCTCCTCGTAGCTCTGCCCATACAGCACATTCCCATCCCAAACACCAGCATGCATAAACATCCCATCTATCTACCTCCCATATATGCTCCTAATCCTCTCCGATCCTCGGGATGACGTCATCCCGTTATCTCGCGCCAACTGGACGATCGGATAGAACCCCTCAAGCCAAAACGAGGGGAAGGAAAAAAAAAGAAGACCCGCGATAAGCCGCAAGTGACAAGATAGTCAACCACCCATCACCACACCACGCTATCAGGGAGATACAGGGCGCAGTACCTAGGTACAATGAACGGCAGCCAATCCCTCCCACCGCGGCGCTCAGCTCTCGTCCTGTATGGCTCCGAAACGGGCAATTCGCAGGAAGTCGCCGAGGAGTTGGGGGCGTTGGCGGAGAGATTGCATTTCCGGACCCATGTGGGGGAGATGAATGTGTATAGGCCGGTGAGTTTCCACCTTTCAATTGTATGCTATATTGGTAATTTGACGCATGCTGACGAGATCATGCTGTGTGTAGGAGGTATTGAAATCGCATACGCTCGTTATATTCGTTGTCGCGACAACAGGACAGGGTGATTTCCCGGCCAATGCGAGGTCGTTTTGGAGGTCGTTGTTGTTGAAGAGGCTTCCGGGGGACTTTTTGGATGGGGTTCGGTTTGCGTCGTTTGGGTTGGGGGATAGTTCTTATCCGAAGTGGGTTTTATTCTATCTCATACATGGATTGGAAGAGGACATGGTGATGGCTGACTGGCTGGCTTGACAGGTTCAATTGGGCGGCGCGCAAACTGCATAAGAGGCTGTTGCAGCTCGGTGCCAATGAGATATATGATGATGGGGAGGCGGATCAACAACATCCGGAGGGGTAGGTTTAGCTATTTCTTTCTGTTTGGTGGGTGTCTTCTAACTGTGTTCTATAGTCTCGAAGGGACGTTCATTCCGTGGTTGACCGGTCTTCGTACACATTTGCTCGAGACGTATCCGCTGCCTGAGGGGCTGGAGCCGATACCGGATGATGTTCAGTTGCCGCCGAAATGGATTCTGAAGCTTCAGGAGGGAGGTGCTTCGACAGCACAGGAAGGACATGCAGTTCCCGGCACACATGAGAACCTGCCTCCGCCTGATGATAATCCAAAGTTGACTCGATTGGATTATGATCTGCGGCCTCTGCCTGATACTTTGATGGCAACGCTTAGGGAGAATAAGCGATTGACTCCGCAGAAGCATTGGCAGGATGTGCGCCATGTATCACTTACTGTGCCTGAACATACTTCCTACGTCCCTGGAGACATGCTATGCATTACCCCCAAGAACTTCTCCACCGACGTGAATGCCCTGATCCAGATGATGGGTTGGGAAGAACAGGCTGATCAGCTCATCGGCCTGGTTCCTAATAGCCATATTCCTGCTGATGATCTCCCTTTGCCGCCTATTCGGGGTCTCGACTCCTACCCCCAATTGACGCTAAGGGCGCTGCTTACAGACTACCTCGATATTCAGGCTATTCCGCGGCGATCCTTCTTTGCGGAGATTGCGCATTACACGAGCGATGAAATGCACAAGGAGCGTCTACTGGAGTTCACGTATACTAGTCCCGAGTATCTTGATGAGCTCTGGGATTACACTACTCGTCCAAGACGGAGTATTCTGGAAGTCTTGCATGAGTTTGACTCGGTCAAGGTGCCATGGCAGCATGCTATCTCGGTGTTTCCAGTCCTTAAGGGGAGACAATTCAGTATCGCTAGTGGCGGCGAGCTGAAGAGGGGCCCTGAAGGCGGCACCAAGTTTGAATTGATGATTGCCATTGTCAAGTACCAGACCGTCATCAAAAAGATAAGACAGGGCGTATGTACGCGTTACATATCTGCGCTTCGACCTGGGAGCATTCTGAAGGTACAGCTGCAACGTGGTGGACTCAATTCCTCCGTCAACCAGCTCGTTGGCCCAACCGTCCTAGTCGGTCCCGGCACCGGTCTGGCACCACTGCGATCCATGCTGTGGGAAAAAGCAGCGATTATCAAGGCATACCAGGAGGAAAATCCCGGGGTTGAGCTTAGCATCGGACCCACGCTTCTCCTCTACGGCGGTCGCAACCGAGAGGCAGACTTCTTCTTCGAAGACGAATGGCAGCAGCTCGGCCAGTTGACCAAGTTGAATGTGCTCACGGCATTTTCCCGGGATCAAAAGCAAAAGGTCTACGTGCAAGATGTGATCCGCCAGAACTATGTACTGCTATTCAAGCTGCTGCATGACATGGCAGGATCGGTGTATATCTGCGGCTCCTCTGGACAAATGCCCAAGGCAGTAAGGGAGGCGCTGACGGAAGCATTCCAGCACGGCGCAGAGGTGGAAACCGATCGATTCAACGAACAAGGGGCCGAGCAGTATCTGCTTGGCATGGAGAAGACGGGACGGTATAAGCAGGAAACTTGGTGATCCGCCTCAAGAGGTACTGTCACATGTGAAGCGGTTATACCATCAACACCTATAGATAGAGCGATGGCATGTCTGCCAGATCCGGCACCATGCGAATAGATTAAAACAAGCACAATATACCCACATATTCGAATAGAAACAAACAGCCACCTATGAGGTCATTTGAATACCTTTTACCCCGCTAAACTTGTCAACTTGTTGTACAAAGTCCCATAATAGAAAAGGCTAACCTCGGCTTGCGGCGGAAGAGCAACAAGCGTGGTTGGAATCTCGGCCCGCCTCGGGGGACTCTCCGCCCAGGTCACCTGTTTTCTGCCGCGGATGGAGCAGCAGCTGCTCCGACGGATCGGTGTCTCTCTACTCTTCCCTCAAAACGGCTTCTTGCTCGCCTTAAGAGTCGACGCCCCTCACGCTGCTGTCCCTCCCCTCCATTGCCCCATTTACTTCCTCCGAAGCCCCTTTACCACATATTATTGTCATAATGAGCGGCTTGCGAATTCTCGTCCCCGTCAAGCGGGTTATTGACTATGCGGTGAGTTTTGGTTTTTGTCGCCTCGTGCTTCTCCTGCTCCGTTCTCGGTGAAGAGTCACATCTCCGAGCGAAAGTTGCCCGCACGCGCAGTCTGCAATTAATTGTGCTCCGTCGGCACCACCACCTACACTCACCATACTACCACGACACTACGGCACGATATATCATGCTGAACATCACTGATAATGTTAGGTCAAACCCCGCGTCAACAAGGCCAACACCGGCGTCGAAACCGCCGGTGTCAAGCACTCCCTGAACCCGTTCGATGAACTGTCCGTCGAAGAAGCCATCCGCCTGCGCGAACGCGGCACCAAGAACCAGAGCCCCATGAAGGTCGAAAACATCCTCGCCCTCTCCGCTGGCGGAGCCAAGTGCGCCGATACCCTCCGCACCGCTATGGCCATGGGTGCCGACCGCGCATTCCACGTCGACGTCGGCGACAGCCCCGATGGTGGTCCCGAGCCCTTGACGATCGCCAAGATGCTGCAGGGTGTGGTCAAGTCCGAGAACATCAACCTGGTGCTGCTGGGTAAGCAGGCGATTGATGGCGACCAGGGCCAGACCGGTCAGATGCTGGCGGGTCTGTTGGGGTGGCCGCAGGCAACGCAGGCCAGCAAGGTCGATATCAAGGATGCGGATGGTACGGTGGAGGTGACGCACGAGGTGGATGGTGGTGTTGAGACGCTGCGGGCTAAGTTGCCTATGGTTATCACTACGGATTTGCGGTTGAATGAGCCCCGCTATGCTACGCTGCCGAACATTATGAAGGCTAAGAAGAAGCCTCTGGAGAAGAAGACATTGGCGGATTTTGGTGTTGAGGATAAGAAGCGCTTGAAGACTCTGAAGGTTACTGGTGCGTTTATTCCTACCCTGTCATTTGCACCCCGGCGCTGTTGCATGTACTGACTTACCGTTCCAGAACCCCCCGCTCGCCAGGGCGGTGGCAAGGTCGAGGATGTCGACGGCTTGATCGGCAAGCTGAAGGAGCTGGGTGCTCTGTAGAGGTGGAGTAGGGCAGATGATTGGATACAACAATAGGTATACCTTTGTGTGTGTGTATGTTTACGACTAGACTCGTGTCCAGTGTCAGCTGAACCGGCTGGACCTTATTTCTCATTCTACTTTATCTCCCGCGGATCATATCCCTGCTGTGTTGTCTAGCTCCTGTGGGTATACTATTTACTTATGCTTAACTCTATCTGTGGCTGGCTATACCTGCTGCAGTGGGTCGACCGCACGAATCACTCATCGGGACAGGAGCAATTGCCTGGTAGAGTAGGAGAGTTCACACGAACTATCCAGCTGTCTACTCCGTAGCTAGCTGAACTCGGGAGTTCATCGGCACGTACTACGTAGTGACCCGACAAGCTAAATCTCAATATGACACATGTCTAATAACTAGTTATCCCCCTGTCACGCTGACATATACCCACTGCACATGCACTAATACCAGCTACTAGTCGATTATAATCCGTCCGGGGATCCCGATCCGCTAGATAGATGGCAACCAGTAGTCAGTAGTCAGTTAGCCAGCGTGGGACCCAGGCACCGGGAACCAGCCGGTTCATCGAATCGGATCGAGATGAGGGTAGATGTATGTTTGCTAGCATGGTCTGTACGGAGTACTTAGGGGTGTGATGGTGATTGCATGCACTAGGATGGGTGCTAGTTTGATATCAGGGTTGGGCTAGGCTGGATGGAGATGTTTTGTTGGATGTATATCATTTGTATAGATATACTATCTACTAGCTACCGTGGGTAGTAGATGGTAGGTGGAAGGGATGGAAATGGGGTGGAATGTATTGCTAATAGGAATTAGTACTAGTGAGTGGGATTGGAGATATACAAATTCTCAGGTTGAATATATTCAGTAGTAGAAGCTACTATAATTATATAGACTCTACACTTTATACTAGATACTCGCCTACACATGACCTCTAGATATAGTAAATAGTAGAGTAAAGTAGTAGAGTAAAGTAGTAGAGTTAACCTTCAACCCCAACTGCATACATTCCACGAGCCAGACAAGCACACAGACATTGAAGCAGACACACAGACACACAAAACCCAACTGTCAGAGTGCCAGAGTGAGTGGTGAACGACACTCCCGTTCGCATTCCAACTATGTACTACAGTGCATCCTCCGATCGATCTATCCCACCCGCCCTCTGTCCACTTTGTACCTACAGTAAGTTGGATACATCATATCAGGCACGGTTGATAATGCGAGCAAACGAACACGAACACCAACTCGAACTCAAAAACTCAATTCATCCACGGAAGCACGTATGTATCCATCTATTTGTTTATCTAACTTTCTGATCCTTAGCTTAGCGGTCTACAGAGTAACTACAGTAGGTATGGACATGACTCGCTGCCTTTCGGCTATTGATCCACTAGGGGAGTATGACAGGAACCCGGGCTATCTACTATCATTGAAATGGTTTGTTGGGGACGGTGTACATATCACGCTAGTTAGTTAGTTACTTAGTTAGTTAGTCTAATGAAGTGTTACGATCGTCGAATTGACTGGCTGTCCGGATGATTAGTTAGGGTGAGGGTGAGGGCGATGTTTCGGCCGAAGTTGCCTCGTCTCGTCTCGTCTAATAATAGCCTGTCTTACAGTAAGTAGCACAGTAGAGTAGAGGAGACAGGGATTCATCTGTGGTTCAGCTGAACTACTGGATAGACTGGAGTGTTTCGCATTGCCAGGGCCAGGGTCAGGACCAGTGTCAGGGATTGTGGAATGTTCCGTTCTATTTAATAGTATTCTACTCTACTCTACTATCCCATCTATAGTCAAGTATAAGTAGAGGGGATATACACACCTACTATCCTACCATCAACAAACAATAAGTTCAGTCTAGTATAGAAGTAGGGATATACACATACCACTCCCTAATCACCCACTCCATCCTCAGTATCCCTCTCAACCGCAATAACCGCATCAATCCACTTCCCTACTATCCTCGTGGGCCCCTACCATCCCATCCCACCGATGGCATATGATATATCCAACAGTAAAGAAACACGGGAAGTGAAAAAATTTTTTTCTCGTTCTAAATGCGCACATGGTGTCCAGGGGGGAAAAATGAGATGAGAGAGGTTCGTTCGTGAGTTCGTGAGTTCTTGCTCCCGTTCCTCCCGCTCCTTCGGCTTCAATGGCCCCCCGGCCCCGGGATGATGAAACTCTGTTTGAAGGGGGTTGATGGGGTGGGTAAGTTGGGTTTGGGTTGGACTGGTCAGGTTGGACTAACTGGATGGAGTAGTACATAGGATTTAAGTAGGTAGGTACACAGGTAGGTCTGTGGTACCTTTTGTAACAAGGTGCCTTATTTTTTTTTTCTTTGCTTTTCTTAACTGTGCTTCGCCCTTGGAACGGTGCGATTGAGGTGAGCCACTTGCGTCAATTGAGTATTATCATGCCCTGCTGTAGGTACCGGAGGGTAGGTAGGAAGGTAAGTAGGTATAGTATCCCAAGCAACGCATCTTCCCTGTCGTTGGCGAGAAGTGGAACTAACCCGAGTAAGAGTAGACTAGACTAGACTAGACTATTGGATCTCGATTGGGGGTGGAGAAAAAAAAGGGAGGAAATTGGACCTGTCAGGGACAGGATATTATTTATTTTTCTACTTTCGGAGTGAGTTAACCAGCTACAGTATCCGTATTTACTTCCATATTAAACCTGGTGACTTGTTTACTTACTACCTACTTAGTTACTGTACTTAATTCTGCAGCTAGGGTTGGAGGGGATAGTGGAGAAAAGACAACATGAAACTAATGCAGAGAATTTTCTTTGCCTGGGCGACGAGAAGGAAATGAAGCGAGGGGATGGACCAAATCAATGCGAAGGGATACAATTTACCCATCCATGGATGGGGGCCAGACAGACAGAGCTAGCTAGCTACTGTAGATACTAGTTTAGGGTGTGGACTGGACTGGCTGGCTGGTATTGGGGCTGAAGGAAGAAGGTCAAAAAAAAAAAAAAAAAAAGCAGCACCACTGCACGTAAGCAAAACAAAATCACGGTAGAAGAAGCGATTGGACCTGTCATATTCTTCGGGTGGGAAGTTGATACATCCCTTGTGAGAGTACGCAGGGATGAAGAGGGGAAGATTCATGCGGACCTAGTGGAAGTTAATCGGAAAATGAATTTTATTTTATTTTGATTTTTGATTTTTAATTTAAATTTTTTGAACAAGGAAATTGTGAGGGTGGGTTTACTTTGGCAGCAAGAAGAAGAACTAAACTAGACTAGACATAGATTAGCTGGGGATCTGGTTCAGGGACTCTTGGCCCCATCGCCATCGCCATCGGGTACGTAGACGATGACGCTGTCATTTGGGGGTTGGAGGGTTGAGGATTCTGTCCAGGATTCTTTCATTTCTTCCACGGGAGAGAAGCATTGCGAGAACAGCATTTGACATACAAGGATGATTATCAATTAGTATAGAAGAATGTAGAGCAACGTATCTATTTCTACATCCGAACAGCCGACGGGCAAATTATAAATGTAGAAAAAGTTAGGGTAGAAATCTAATCCGATCGGCTTATCGGGCGCGGCGAAGCGATGACGCTGATGCTGCCATGATGCCATGCATCCGGAACCAGACTGAAGGAATGAATGAAATAACTGCCTAATTAATATCCTTTTCTTGTACTCCTCCACTTCCTCGTCATCATCTTGCTGACTGACTTGACTTTCTTGTACACCTTTATTCATCCGGCCGTTCCATCTCCGGCCAGCCACTCTTACTTCCAGTCCAACCATGCCCTTCCGACCCAGCCGTGTGAGTATTTGTGCCTGGTTCGCATCCACGGCTCTGCACTCTTCTTCCATTTAGTCTTGTCTTCCCCTCTTACCTCTGCGAAAAAGAGGATCCATCTTTTCCCTTTCTGCTTCCTGCTTCATGCTTGCTTGCTTGCTTTTTCCTCCTCCTCAACTGCATTAGCTCTCGGTCATACATCCAGCCTACATCTCTAGCACATCTGACCGACGGGTCCTACGGGTCGATCACCCCCTCCACTCTGGGGTTTACCTCTCATCTCCTACATAAACTGAACTGTCCCTGCTCCTACTTGTGGTGGACACGGAAATTAGCTGTTGTTTCATCTGGTCCCTTTTCCCACCTTACTCTCGGATATATTGTCACTTTTGAAATTTTTCTTTACTTTTCGTGGCCCTGGCGAGGCTCAGGCGGAGGTAAGCCGACCCCCGAATCCCAGTTGCCCGTCCCATGGTTCCCCTCCTTCCTTTCCTCGTATGTCACCGGTTCTCCAGCTGCTCGCCACCCACTCAAGGCGAGGTCTGGAACGCACGGCTAGCACGGCGAAAAGCTCGAGGTCTTCTTGCCTTTTAATAATATGGCCCTCTCCTACGTCTCCTGCCTCAATACATGCAATTTCCTTTCATCGCAGATCACTGACGTTCCGGATACTATATAGTTGGCTTACATTCTTACCACTCTCCGGACCCGCATTCCTCGGTTGTCACCCCAACTTCTGTTGCGCCCGTTTGCTGCCTCTTATACATTCCCGTCCGCATTGGGACTTTATGTGAAATACTTTGGCCGTCTTCGTCTACTGCTGCCATTGCACCCGCAATTATAGACTGCCTCTTTACCCACTGCGCGGTCCTCAGGACTCCATCCTGTGTCACTCTGTTTGGTAGGCTTGGAGACCCCACGGGATTTTGAGTCGCCACCATGCCTTCCACTCTGTGGGAGAAGACGAAAGGCACATCTAAGAAAGGTTTCGATAAGGCATGGCATACCCTCGACAAGCTGGGCGATCCCGTCAACCGGCTATCCTACAAGGTCGGCGCAGAGGCCTTTTGGCCCATGACCCTCGATAAAGAAAGCGACAAAGCTGCGCGAATTCTACGAAGTTTCTGCAAAGATGGTTTCTATTCCAACGAAGATGCCGAACGTCAAAGCTCCGACAGCTCGGTCAGCAAAGAATCCGGCAAGATTGATCGCCCCAAGGGCAAGCAGCGGGTCCTGAAGAAGATCCCCGCTAGGGTTATACAGCGCGCCAAGGGTCTCGCTATCTTCACGACTATGCGCACAGGCCTCTGGGTCAGTGGCTCGGGTGGTAGTGGTGTGCTCCTGGCGCGGACCCCAGATACCAATGAATGGAGCCCGCCTTCCGGTATCATGCTTCATACGGCTGGTATCGGTTTCCTGGCGGGCGTGGATATCTATGACTGTGTGGTGGTCATCAATACCTACGAGGCCTTGGAGGCTTTCAAGAAAGTGCGATGCACTTTGGGTGGAGAAGTCAGCGCTGCAGCCGGTCCGGTTGGGATGGGCGGCGTGCTTGATTCGGAAGTACACAAGCGGCAAGCCCCCATCTGGACCTACATGAAGAGTCGCGGTCTGTATGCTGGTGTTGCTGTGGATGGTACCATCATTATCGAGCGTACCGATGAGAACGAGCGCTTCTATGGCGAGCGCATATCGGTCACTGACATTCTTGCGGGCAAGGCCAAACGGCCTCCCGCGTCGATTCAAACGCTGCTGAACACCGTGAAAGCTGCCGAGGGCAACCCAACTGTGGATGAGAACTTGCTGCCTCCCGGAGAAACCCCTGGGGATGTTGAGATTGTGCCTGGACCGGGCTCGTTCGGCATTCCCGACCCCGAGGACCCCGATCCATTCGGCGTCAAGGCACTGGAGGCGGAGGGTCTTTTCATTCGCGAAGCTGGGACAAAATCCAGACCGTCGCAGGAAGCGTTCGAGTTCAAACCCGGCCCGAACAGTCCGATATTTGCGACTTTTCGACGGAGCATCGACAGCTCACCACGCAATAGTTGGCGAGCAAGTGTGCAGAGCTACGCCAGTATGGATCGGGGGACTCAAACTGATGATGGTCCTACGACTGCTCCGACTTCTATCAGCCGTGCCTCCTCCCGGAGCTACCGTGACGTGTCCGACCGGGCTGAGACCAGTCCTTGGGACAACGAGGAGGGACGCTGGGAGACTGTCATCCCAGAACACGACGAATATCACGGCCGGGATGATGTCGAGGACGTGGATCTGGATGACGATGTGGAAATCCACGAAGTCAGCAGCGCCACTGTATCGAAGCGCGAGAGTGCTGCCCATTCGCCTGTCCCAGTCGAAGATTCCATCGCTCCTGTGGAGTTTAAGCGTCACTCGCCCACATTCACACGGGCACGCCTTGTGACGATCTCCAAGCGGATGCCCCCGACCCTCCCACCCCGAAACCCCCAGCGGACGCCCGCTCCTGTTTCGACTTCGACTCCTAGCTCGCCTACGGTAAACCCCTACGCACACAGCCGCCGGCGTTCCGTGGCGTCTAGCCCGGGACACGCCACGTACGGCTTCACAGAGATGCCTCTGTACCACAAGAGCGACTCGGAGAGTGACCTGTCCTCTACCGGTGCTCCCGAGTCATCCAACAAGCCGTCACCAGACCGTGAAGAGTTCCACTCGGTATCCAGTCTGCACGATTCGGACGTGGCGTCCGAGACCGAGGCTAATGAGGCCAAGGAGACTGAGACCGAGAAAACCCACGAGGCATCATCCGATGCGAGCACTCCTACATACGTTCACGAGTCTGATGTCTCCCCATGGGGGAAGTCTGACACAGACCTGGCACCCACGAAGACCATCACTTCCGATGACCACGTCAAAGTTGAGTCTACGGTGCAGCCCCAGACTGCGTGAGTGCTAGAGCACATACCGCCATTCCTTGTATATATTCCTTCTGGCATATTGTTATTGGGATTCATCCCGTTGCATATTGCATGTTGATGTTGATTCCCACTGTGTTTCGGCTGTTTGTATCGCGTTACCAGCTCTTGTTGTTATGTTTTATGTCATACTGTAATGGTAGTCTTAGCGTGCGTGCTGTTTGGTTTCAAATTGGGCATGGGTACCTGGGCGTCTCGGGATGGATACTGGGACGTGGTAAGATGCTTGGAAGCGATTTGAGTTTGACAATATATCCCTATGTTCTCTTCTCCAGACTTCCTAAATTGTAATGTAACAGCACTGTGTAGATTGCATTACCTTGATCGGAACTGCGAAACCTGATCTGTATATGACCGATCACCATCGAGCCACCTACATCATGGCGCGCTCTGAACCAATACAGTAATGTCGATCAATCCCGCTTGAACCAAGGCTGATTTCCTGCTGAAGTATATCATAAAGTGAAACTAGATACTTTGTAGATATCCTCGGCAGTTGCCTGCCATTTACCCCATACACACCTACGGGAGAGTGGAGTGGAGCAAGTGCACGGCCATTCGATCAACCTACTTAGTGAGACACTGACAACCGGCGATCCGCCGGCTTATCGGCGATGGCGTTATCAGACCCCTAGCAGTAGTACTACAGTAGTTAGTTAGTATTTATACTACTTCCTTCGCTCAAATCCCTATGACCGTTTTTAATTTTTTTTTTTTTTTTCTCTCTTTTGTTTTTTTTTCCTGTGAAATTGATGAACTCTCCATGAGAGTTCCGTACAGATCGAAAAAGATACCTAGACAATGACCATGATGCTATCCCTCTCATCATCCGTCTCATCATCCCTCGGCATCATCTCCACTATCACCACCCTAGTCGCAGGACAATCATATTTCCCTCCCACACCGGAGGACCTCACCATCATCGAGTCCGAAATCTTCCCGGGGGCAAAAATCTCCTATAAACAGGTTGAGCTACACCCTACCCCAACTACATTTCCCATCCTAACATCACATCCCTACTAATAATACTTACTTACTATATGACCAACCAGCCCGAAGGAATCTGCACCAACACCGATACCACCAGCTACTCCGGCTACATCCACCTACCCCCGCACACCCTGACCAACCTCTCCATCCCAGGTATCAGCATCACCCAAGCATACCCTATCAATACCTTCTTTTGGTACTTTCCCGCCCGCCACCATAATGGCTCGTCGCCACTCACTATCTGGATGAACGGCGGACCCGGCGGATCCTCCATGATCGGACTATTCCAGGAGAATGGACCGTGCGTGGTGAACCCGGACTCGAATTCCACGAGCGATAATCCCTGGTCGTGGAATGAGTATGTTGATATGTTGTATGTGGAGCAGCCGGTCCAGACGGGGTTTAGTTATGATGTGTTGAGGAATGGGACGGTGGATTTGGTGAGTGGGGAGATTGATGTGGATGTTGATGTGGGGGAAGGTGGGTGGGATGGGGTAAGGCAGAATGAGACGTTTTTGGTAGGGACTCTGCCGAGTCAGGATGTGGGAGGGACGGTGAATGGGACGGTGAATGGGGGGAGGGCGTTGTGGGTCGCGTTGCAGGCTTGGTTGGGGGAGTTTGTTGAGTATCCTGCTGCTGCTGCTGGTGAGGGTGATGACAGGGTGAGTATATGGACGGAGTCGTATGGAGGACGGTATGGGCCTGCGTATACGGCGCTATTTCAGGAGATGAATGAGCGGATTGAGAGCGGGGAGGTGAGTACTGGGAAGAAGATTCATTTGGATACGCTGGGGATTATCAATGGATGTGTGGATTTACTCGTCCAGGTCCCGTCGTTCCCGGAGATGGCGTATAATAATACGTATGGGATTGAGGGGATTAATCGCACGCTTTACGATAGGGCTATGGATAACTGGGGCAAGCCGGGTGGATGCAGGGATATGATTGTCGAGTGTCGCGATGCGGGCGAGCTTGGGGATCCTCTCATGTATGGGGATAATGAGACGGTGAATGGTATCTGCGCGGAGGCGTCGGAGTATTGCTCACGGGAGATCAAGAGTCTGTATACGAATACCTCTGGGAGAGGATACTACGACATAGCGCATTTCTCGCCGGATGCAGCGCTCGTGCCCTACTTCGTCGGGTTTTTGAATCGCCCGTGGGTGCAAAAGGCGCTCGGGGTCCCGGTGAACTATACCATGTCGTCAGAGGCAGTGGGGGACAGCTTCGACTCGACAGGTGATTACCCTCGCAATGATCCACGCGGGATGATCGGGGATATTGGGTACTTGCTTGACTCTGGTGTTAAGGTGGCTATGGTGTATGGGGACCGGGACTATGCCTGTCCGTGGCGCGGCGGGGAAGATGTCAGTCTGCTGGTGGAGTATGCTGAAGCAGAGAAGTTCCGGGCTGCAGGGTATGCAGAGGTGCAGACGAAATCATCCTACGTTGGGGGATTGGTCAGGCAGTATGGGAACTTCTCATTTACGCGTGTCTTTCAGGCGGGCCATGAGGTGCCGTTCTATCAGCCTGAGACGGCGTATGAGATCTTTAATCGGGCTCAGTTTAATTGGGATATTGCGACGGGAGGAGTCTCCTTGGTGGAGAACCAGGACTACGGGACGGAGGGACCGTCATCGACGTGGCATATTAGGAATGAGGTGCCGGAGAGCCCTGAACCAACGTGCTATTTGTTGGCCATGAATTCGACTTGTACGGATGAGCAGAAGGAACGGGTGCTGAGTGGGGAGGCGGTGGTGAAAGATTGGGTTGTTGTTGAGGATGTTGAGGTTCAGGGATCGTTCAGTGGAGATGGTGATCAGTTAGCACAGGTCCCGTTGGGACACTGATGTTAAGTGCAATGTTGATAGTGTGGTGGTTGGTTG